ACATTGAGGTAGTTACGGTTTGAATACCTCAATAGACTAAAAAAATTAGAAACAAATAGACTTGAGTGATTAACCATTTACATTTCTTTCTTTCTTGCATGTGTTGCTGTAATTAAGAGTTTGGTCGTTGTTTGCTTCATATCATGATCAGATTTTTGAAGTGACAACTACTGAATGATCAAAAACAAACTGAGAACAATATATATTAAATATCAAACATACATAAAACATACACAAGGTTCAAATAGAAAACAGAGGAGAACTACAAATGGAAAAACAGAGGAGAACTACAATTGGACTTCTTCACTTCTTCTTTGTGGTGCAGCTACAAGCAAGGAGGACTCCATTTGGAGGACTTGCCATCTCCATCAGACAATTCCTACCAAAGTAGATGAGAAGTGAAGGAACCCAAAGTAAGATTTCACTTTGAAAGTTCCTTCAACCTCATATACAATGTGGTTGTTCACAACTTGTCTCTGAAGGTCCATCTCATCTTTCAGAGGAAGAACATTTGGAAGAAGAGAGATAAGATGGATGGGCTCTAACCTTGTCTCGCTTTTGGTCAGTGAGAATGGTTGGATGTCTTGAGCAGCAATCACATAATTGTTGAACTTTAGTTGAAGCCCACCACTCTCCAGCTTCACTTCCATCTTCTTGTTGCGGTTGAGGAACCTTGCAACAATCTCCAAGTCCAGGTTGGAGCTGTGTAGGCTTGCATCTTGGATGTCAAACCTTGGAGTTCGTGGCCTGATCGCTACAATGGCGATCATGGAGATGATGAGCAGAATGCTCATGACCATCATCACACCAGCAATACACCAACACCAAGGCTTTGTCTTCTTGATCATCGTCTGCTGAATCACTCTATCTCTGGATGGTATTTCTTCTGTTGCTCTCTCTCCTAGTGGTGCTTCTTCGATCTCTGCTAGAGTGTTGGTCGGAGTGAACCACTCCGATGGAGTTTCAGGAGGAGAATGTTCAAGACTTGACATGGCAATGCTTTGGAAAGAAAAAATGATGCTGATCTCTCTCTCTCTCTATTTCTCTATCTCTCTCTCTCTTTCTGTTCTTCTTCTTAGTTTCTTAGTTTGTTGTATACATATAGGAGAGCATTCAAACACTATAACTTCATGGATTACTATCAATAATCTCCCACCAAGTAAGATTCCTTTTTATCAAAATAGATATAATCTCCACTCACCTTAGTGCCTTAGGAGTTAGGATTGAGCTGTCACAAAATTATTAATCCTTTGGATACCACAAACTCTCTTTCAAAATTGAATTCTTTCACTTGTTGTTTCACACATTCGCTTAATGGAGAGAAAGGAATCAAATCCACCACTATTAACATTTGAAGAAACCGATAATGGTGTGTTTGCTTTCACAATAGCTTACTAATAATGTTTGAAGTGAAAACTATTGGTTTCTTTTGTTTTCATTGTGACTCTGTTTATGTCATTGCATGTGAGATAAGTGGTTGGAAACTTTGCTTGTTGTTTCACACATTATCTTAATGGAGAGAAAGGAATCAAATCCACCACTATTAACATTTTGAGAAACCGATAATGGTGTGCTTGCTTTCTTACTAATAATGTTTGAAATGAAAACTATTGGTTTCTTTTGTTTTCATTGTGACTCTGTTTATGTCATTGCATGTGAGATAAGTGGTTGGTAAGTTTGCTTGTTGTTTCACACATTCTCTTTATGTAGAGAAAGGAATCAAATCCACCACTATTAACATTTTAAGAAACTAGTAATGGTGTGTTTGCTTTCACAATAGCTTAATTATCAATAATGTTTGAAATATAAACTTTAGTTTCTTTTCTTTTGTTTCATTGTGACTCTGTTTCTGTCACTGTGGACTATAAGTGATTGTATTTTGTTTCAACTATAAGTTTGTAAAAACAAATATGCAAAGCTTTGAATTAACAGAAGATGAATCCATGTTACGATGCATAATTTGGATTTCTATAGCATGGTGAGTTATATCTAGATATATCAAAAAACTTGTGGAATATATTTAAGTTTCACAATGTTTTTAAAGTAGCATATGTAATCATGCTGATAGTTGACCATCAATGCAATGTCTTAGGCTTTGTGTTATGTTTCGAAGTTTCAGCAACCATTTGTTACAATCCAAAACCACTATATGTCAAAATCTAGAAAATATGGTTATAGATATTCATAATATATACTATGACAATGGTAAGAAAAAACATATGGACAGTACGTTATACGTATATACGCTGCTGATAGTAATTAGACAACAAAATTAATATTAAAATAAGAAGAACAAATTGAAATTTTGAACTAGGATTTTTAGTTGAGTGTGGTGGAGAAATCATTATGTGACATTTCTTATTAGTTTTTAGAGAATATGATATTATTTTGGAAGAATGTTACTACATCTTTTGATCTTATGGACACTTTTGCTGGCAACAAAGTTATCTAATTTTGTCAAACATAACTAAAGAACTTAATATATTTAGATATTGTTATTTCGGTCTAATTTTTTTTATTAAAATTATTTGTTTATATTCAGAATTGAAGAAAAGCGGTATGAGAAATGTTCGTGCTAGACCGTCTAACTAAAACAATAAACATTGTTATTTCAAAGAATTTTCCCCTAGAAATATATCGTAAATGATTTTAATGGATTATACTATAACGTCTAATAGATCGTTAAAATGTAAGTTAATTCGATGTGCTTGTTTAAATACAAAAATATTTGAAGACCATCATCTATATCTTATACCATGAAAAAAACAAGGTTGTCGTTTTACATCAAATAACATTATATTTGCTGTTGGACCTTTAATTAAAAAATGGTCACAAAATAAATAAATAAAGAAAAGAAAAACAGAGATCAGGTGGAAAAGAACAGAACAGACCCTTCATCGGACCATCATCCTAAAATCTTCATCGGGAACAGAGCAGAACAAAAGATATTTGAAGACCATCATCTTAAAGTCTTCATCGGGATGCTCTCTTTCTAATCTTAGGTGTACTTTACATTTTTCTTCTTATCTTTTGGTCTCCCCATATTAGCTTCTTTTTTTTCTTTCGAAATATAAAATGTTTTTTTTTTCTTTCTTTTTACCACTAACTAAAATAAGTATTATTATTTATTTACTTTTACACATATACTGATCAAAGTGACGTCGTTTCCCTTACATGGACTAATGTAATTTATACAGGAAATCAAAATCAATATTTTTTTACTTTTTAGAAAATCTAGTATAGTTAAATTTTGAAAAGCATATTTATCTTATTTCTAGGTAATTTTTACCTTTAATGAATATTGTTTGACCAGTTAAATTTTGCAGTTTTTATGTTGTTTTATTATGATTGGTTGATTTGTATTTAATTTATATATATATATATATATATTAAATCATCTTTTAAAAAGAAAAATAATTTTCTAAATCTTTGTGTTTATTCTAAAATTGCTTATATAATGGGACAGAGAAAGTATTACACTATGTTGAACCTTTTCGAATGCACAATTGTAGCCTTTAATTATCAGTTTATTACAAATATAAAGCTATTGATTATTGAATCAAGGTACTATATATATCATTTAAAGAAAATTTGCTTTATGCATATAATCAACGCTGCCACGCCACAGCCGCGCACGACCAAAGCGCGCGAGCCGGGGAAAAGCCTCGCGGCCGTGCAACTCGCCTCATGTACCGCGCACCGCTCCGTCCGAGCCGGGGAGAACACCTCGCGTCCGGCCGAGAATTTCATCGGCCAAACATCTATCCGCCCGACCAGCCGGCCGACCGTGAATCCATCCGGCCCCGACCGTTCCGACTCGGCCACAACCCGACTGTCCGGCCGATCGTCCCGCACGACCGTCCCAACGCCGCGGTCGACCCGAAGCCCTTTTGAAGCCCAATTTCATATTTTCAAGCCCGGCTTAACCCTAAGCCGCCCTAGAAGACCTAGCACTATATATATAGATTTTTAGCCTCTTGTGAAAGAGAGCCGCCTTGTATTACAATTTCATACTTTGAGTTTTATTGCAATCATGTTTTCTTCATCTCTTTGTGTTTTTGCTTTGATTATGTCTGAGTAATTCACTAGTTAGGTTGTGAGATCTATCAAAGAGTTCATGGTTTGATAGGTTGTTAGAAGTCACATAGGGTTTATCATATCGCATCTTCGCCTCTGCTTGAATTCATTGCTGCTTGCTTTTCTGATCAACTAGCATCAGATCTTAGGTTTCATATACTCTCCAAAAGCTTGCTATATAACCTGAACTAAGTATTTGGTGAGCAAAACTTCATAGACTGCGAAAGTTGATCTATGCGGGGTTGTGAACAATTGGGTCTTGAACGAACTATTGCTTGATTTAATCACCTAGGGACATACCAAAAGTTTAGCGACTAGGTAGATTAACAAAGGGGTCGGAGCCTCGACAGTGGAAAGATCATACAATCGTGACCTGAGTTCTAGATAGCGCAAACCCTAGCAACCTTCTAATATCTTGTTAACCTTGAATCTCTGCGAGTTTCTCACTGCCTAGCGTTTCCCTTATTGATTTTCATAAACCGTTTAATTGTTATTTATTTACTTGTTACACAATCAAAACCCTAAATCATACTTGTTTTCTAGCTACATTAGACTTGCATAATTCGAAGTGTACTTATCTGCTCCTTGTGTTCGATACCCGTTTACTACTTTTGATCTGTGCACTTGCAGAATCAGGATAGGAAAAGGGAAGACCTGATCCGCACATCACCAATCCGGTTGGGCTCTGACGTGCGAGAATGCGCTTGACTACACCTTCCTAGACAACATGTGGTTAGACACGCCACATGTTCTCAGTACTTAGCATATGGGCCTTTACGCACCACTATGCCTCATACCACCGGTTCTGCGGCAGAGCTTCCCTTGCCTCGGAAGAGTACCCACACGAACCTTGAAAGATCTGGCGGCTCAGCCGTCCGTGATCTTTCCACATCGGAGTCATACTCAACATATGGGCCTTACGCACCACCATGTTAGTATGCACTCGAGGTTTAGCGGCATAGCCATGCTATAACCCCACAACCGATGCATCTATGAGATTTGGCGGCATAGCCATCCACAATCTCACATCACCTAATGTATAGATATGCATCTACACTAACAAGATCTGATGGCATAACCTTCCCCGAAGGTTACCCATCACAATCTTACACAGAAAAGAGATCTGTTGGCATATCCTTCCCGAAGGTTACCCAACACAACCTCACACACAAAAGAGATCTGGCGGCCTAACCTTCCCCGAAGGTTACCCGACACAACCTCACAACACAAGAGATCTGACGGCATAACTTCTCTCCCTAGAAGATTATCCATCACAACCTCACAATATATTACATAAATTTCTGCAGCATAACTCTCCACAATTTTTACTAAACCTTATTGTTTAGAGAGTTATACTACAGAACCAATAACCAATATGAACAGAAAGCATCTCCTATGCTTTGGTGTTCATACAACCTGCATACACAAACAAAGATCCAAAAACTAAAACTATAACACCAAGACTCACCACTTTAAGAAGACTTCAAGATCCTCCTAGCTTTCCTTAAGCTTTGATCTTGACCTACTCTAATCTTCCACTAACCTCACTTAATTAAGAAAACTTTCTTAATTACTCTCTAATCACTTTTCAGGTGCTCTCTAGCTTTGGGAATGGAATGGTTTGGACTTGGGGTGGAGGAGCGTATTTATAGGAGTTCAGGAGGCTGCCTGGCTTCTTGGGACGTCTCCAGTCATGCGCAGACACATGGAGACCTAGGCCTAGCATAGCTTTGCTTGGTGGCGACCTACACTGCCTCAGAACGCGACATCCAGGCGGTCTAGGCTAGGTAGCTTTGATTGGTGGCCTCTAGGGCGTCTCAGGACATGACACACGTCATTCCTATCCCCTCTCAATGCTCATCCAATAGGCCGACTTCCCCCAAGCATGTGGTGTGATCGTCCGATTGGATATAACTCATCTTATCCATTAAGATGCTGGGTGCTTCTGTCTGATTGGTCAGCTCTTGATCCAATCCGTTTCTGCATCTCTCCACTTGCTTCTCATCCACTCCTGAAGCTTCTCCTCTCTCTCAGTGGTTGGTTGATGTGGAGTCAGGTTTTACCAAACTCCTAGACCTCTGCAAGTGCACAGATCGCGGAAGTATGGGTATCGAACACAAGGACTGGCTATTGAGTACACTTTGAACTATGGATTTTGGATCAAGCTAAAACAAAAGTATGATTGAGGTTGTAATGGTGAACCGAACTAGCAAGTATAACGAGGTTGTAAACAATAAAGGAAAAGCGCTAGGTCATAGGGGCTATCGCAGAGAAGCAAGCAATGATCAATGAAACAATGATAGATTAATTGATTAGGGATATTGGGATATTAAGAACCATCTAGAACACAGATCACGAATATAAAACCATTCCACTTTCGAGGCTCCGGCTCCTTTGTTAATCTACCTAGTCGCTAAACTTTTGGTATGTCCCTAGGTGATTAAATCAAGCTTTAGAATGAATAGGTTCTGATACAGTTCACTAGATATAGATAGATCAACTTTCGCAGTCTAAGAAACCTAGCTTGTCAAAGAATATGTCCGGCGAATGATACAGCACTGTCGAGGCTCAAATCAACCTAAGATCGGATTACTAGATGCGCGGTAAAGCAATCAGCATTAGTTAAGTGCACAAGACGAGACAAAGACTCTAATATAATCCCTAGCTAATCATTGAAATCAAAGATCATGCAAGCAACTCATTGAATAGTAACCCTAGCAACCTAACTAGTGGATTACTCAGACATGATCAAAGCAAACACACATAGAGATGAAGAAAACATGATTGCAATAAAACTTAGAGTAGGAAATCGAAATACAAGGGCGGCTCTCTTTTCACAAGAGGCTAAAAATCTATATATATAGTGCTAGGTCTTTCTAGAGGCGGCTTAGGGTTAAGCCGGGCTTGAAAATATGAAATTTGGGCTTCAAAAGGGCTTCGGGTCGACCGCGGCGTTGGGACGGTCGTCGGGACGATCGGCCGGACATCGGGTCGTGGCCGAGTCGGAACGGTCGGGCCGGATGGATTCGGTCGGCCGGCTGGTCGGACGGATAGATTTGGCCGATGAAATCTCTCGGCCGGACGCGAGGGTTCTCCCGGCTCGGACGGAGCGTCCGTGGACGCGAGTTGCGCGGCCGCGAGGCTTTTTCCCGGCTCGCGCGCTTTGGTCGTGCGCGGTGTGGCGTGGCGGTTGTGGCTGGCCGACCGCGGGACAGTTTCCCGGGTCGTGATGCGTGATCGGCCGAGTGGTTTGGACTTTGGCCGAGACTTCAGACGGACGGATACTTTGGCCGAGCGCGAACATCGTTCCTCGGCCAGCCGGACTGCGCGGTTGGGCGCTGTTCTCGATAGAGCCGTCTGGACAGTCTTCACTCTTTTGGTTGTAACTCCTTTTCTACTCATCCAAATTAGGCCATTCCAGTTGCGTTGGAAAGTTAACTCAATCAGAGCACGCAGGGAACTGGTCTTGATGAAATCCATTGAGTAGATCTTTTTCTGGGCCCTCTTAAAGTTGGTGCTTGTGCATGGAGCGGCTTGAAGTGCAAATCCTATGGTTTTGCTCCAAAATGCATCATTTCACCTGTTTAGACTCTAGACACTATAAACACAGTAAAACTACCTTTTTAGATAGAAAACCTGCCAAAAACCATTAGAAAACAATGCTAAAACAGTATAAAAAGTGGGTAAATTAGAGGTATATCAACTCCCCCAGTACTATGGATTTTGGAGCAAGCTAAAACAAAAGTATGATTGAGGTTGTAATGGTGAACCGAACTAGCAAGTATAACGAGGTTGTAAGCAATAAAGGAAAAGCGCTAGGTCATAGGGGCTATCGCAGAGAAGCAAACAATGATAGATTAATTGATTAGGGATATTGGGATATTAAGAACCATCTAGAACACAGATCACGGATATAAAACCATTCCACTTTCGAGGCTCCGGCTCCTTTGCTAATCTACCTAGTCGCTAAACTTTTGGTATGTCCCTAGGTGACTAGATCAAGCATTAAAATGAATAGGTTCTGATACAGTTCACTAGATATAGATAGATCAACTTTCGCAGTCTAAGAAACCTAGCTTGTCAAAGAATATGTCCGGCGAATGATACAGCACTGTCGAGGCTCAAATCAACCTAAGATCGGATTACTAGATGCGCGGTAAAGCAATTAGCATTAGTTAAGTGCACAAGACGAGACAAAGACTCTAATCTAATCCCTAGCTAATCATTGAAATCAAAGATCATGCAAGCAACTCATTGAATAGTAACCCTAGCAACCTAACTAGTGGATTACTCAGACATGATCAAAGCAAACACACATAGAGATGAAGAAAACATGATTGCAATAAAACTTAGAGTAGGAAATCGAAATATAAGGCGGCTCTCTTTTCACAAGAGGCTAAAAATCTATATATATAGTGCTAGGTCTTCTCTAGGGCGGCTTAGGGTTAAGCCGGGCTTGAAAATATGAAATTGGGCTTCAGAAAGGGGCCGGATGGATTCACGGTCGGCCGGCTTGGTCGGGCGGATAGATGTTTGGCCAATGAAATCTCTCGGCCGGACGCGAGGCGTTACTCCCCAGCTCGCGCGCTTTGGTCGTGCGCAGCTGTGGCGTGGCCGGTTGTGGCGAGGCCGACCGCGGGCTTAAGTTTCCCGGGTCGTGATGCATGATTGGCCGAGTGGTTTCGGACTTGGCCGAGACTTCAGACGGATGGACACAGTTTTGGCCGAGCGCGGAACATGCGTTCCTCGGCCAGCCGGACTGCGCGGTTGGGCGCTGCTTTCTCGATAGAGCCGTCTGGACAGTCTCCACTCTTTTGGTTGTAACTCCTTTTCTACTCATCCAAATTAGGCCGTTCCAGTTGCGTTGGAAAGTTAACTCAATCAGAGCACGCAGGGAACTGGTCTTGATGAAATCCATTGAGTAGATCTTTTTCTGGGCCCTCTTAAAGTTGGTGCTTGTGCATGGAGCGGCTTGAAGTGCAAATCCTATGGTTTTGCTCCAAAATGCATCATTTCACCTGTTTAGACTCTAGACACTATAAACACAGTAAAACTACCTTTTTAGATAGAAAACCTGCCAAAAACCATTAGAAAACAATACTAAAACAGTATAAAAAGTGGGTAAATTAGAGGTATATCATCGGCCGGTCAGGTGGATCTTGGGCCGAGTCGGAACGGTCGTGGCCGGATGATTGCACGGTCGGCCGGCGTGGTCGGGCGGATTGAGATTTGGCCGAAGGTTTCTCGGCCGGACGTGGGACGTCTTCCCGGCTCGGACGGATGCATCGGCCGTGGTACGCGAATGGGTTGCGCGGCCGCGAGGCCTTGTTCCCCGGCTCGCGCGGCATGGTCGTGCGCGTGCGTGACGTGATGGTGGCTTGGCCGACCGCGGGCAATATTCCCGGGTCGTGATTGTGATCGGCCGGTCTTCGAACTTTGGCCGAGACTTCAGACGGACGGATATGATTTGGCCGAGCGCGAAACAATAGTTTCTCGGCCAGCCGGACTGCGCGGTTGGGCGCTGCTTTCTCGATAGAGCCGTCTGGACAGTCTTCACTCTTTTGGTTATAACTCCTTTTCTACTCATCCAAATTAGGCCGTTCCAGTTGCGTTGGAAAGTTAACTCAATCAGAGCACGCAGGGAACTGGTCTTGATGAAATCCATTGAGTAGATCTTTTTCTGGGCCCTCTTAAAGTTGGTGCTTGTGCATGGAGCGGCTTGAAGTGCAAATCCTATGGTTTTGCTCCAAAATGCATCATTTCACCTGTTTAGACTCTAGACACTATAAACACAGTAAAACTACCTTTTTAGATAGAAAACCTGCCAAAAACCATTAGAAAACAATGCTAAAACAGTATAAAAAGTGGGTAAATTAGAGGTATATCATTGGTGTTGCATCCTGATTCGTCCAAGTCCATTTCGTCACCATTGAGAACTTTTGTGTCTCCGTCTGATTGGTTTGGGCAATCCTTGTCTTTCATGAGCAGCTGGGTGTCTCTCCCTGATAGCATTAGGTATTCTTGGAGTTTATCCACGCCCTCTCTCCTCTTTAGCAGCTGGTGTCGTTGCCCAATTGGTTTAGACTTGCTTCGTCCTCATTCAGTAGCTGGATGTTGCTACATGATTGGCCCGTCTTAGAAGCTGTTGTGTATCTCCATTTGATTCGTCCATTTCTGGATAAGATCATCCAATAAGAATGCTTATCCACGGCCTCACTCTCTCCTACCAGGTAATGTTGACGCACGATTGGTCCAACACAATTTCGTCCCATTCCAATAGCTCAATGTCTCTACTTGATTGGCTGAATAGGTTTTGGCTCCATTGTAGTAGCTGCATGTCTTCTCCTTATTGGTTATGATCATCCTTATCTTCTCCAAGTAGCTGGTGTCACCACTTGATTGGCTTAGAACAAGATTGCTCCAATGTACGTTTCCTCGTCCAGAGGGTTTCGTACGTTTCCCTGTCCGGAGGGTTTCGTCCCCGTCGTGCTTGAGAATTAAAATCTCCTATTGTGATCCTTCTCTCATTTCCATGTTTCTGAGCTTCCACATAGTTGCTTGGAAATGTGCAGAATACCTCCATCCCGAACATTTACGCTTCTTGCAGTCGTTGCGGGATAGATCTTGGCCGTCCGTCCCATCTCTCAATCTGCTCGTCCGATTTGCATTCTGCTTCGACCAAACTTCTTAGAATGGTCTCTTATGTCGTCCAAACTCTTCTCTTCTTGATTTGGAGAACTTTGATATTTCGTCGTCCTGTTGACTCTTCCCATGTTCGTACAATGATCGTCCCACCTGGACAATCTTGCTGTATCTTCACTTCTGCTCGATCGTTCTTGATCCTGTCTTGATCCAAGTCTTCGTTGTGATCTCTGGATTAGATCCAACGTCTTTGTCTTCCAATCCCAGAGTGTTGATCTTCCCATCCCGGCCTTTGGGATGTTTTAGGTCTTGATACGGGGTATCACATGGATGGTCTTGGAGGACTATCCCATGAAGGTGGTGGTGCTTGAGGGCTTAACATCTCTTGTTCGCTCAAGAGGTGGCTTTGAGGTGGTATGTGGCGAATGGAATCGCCTTTATAGGGAAGAGGCTTGTGGCTCCTTCTCCATATCTAATAGGAAAACCTGAAAAGCTAAAAACAAAAAGGAAAAACCAAATCAAAAGAAAAAGGAAATCTAACAAAAACAAAAAGGAAAAGTGAAAACCCTAGACTAGCTCTCTTGCAAGAACTTGTAGGTGCGAATTGGTCCCCGGCAACGGCGCCAAAAACTTGATGTGCGGGATCAGGTCTTCCCCTTTCCTATCCCTGATTCTGCAAGTGCACAGGTCAGAAGTAGTAAACGGGTATCGAACACAAGGACCAGATTGCACACTACAAGTTATGAGTTCGAGATCAAGCTAGGGCAAAAGTATAAGTTTGGTTGAGTGCAGAGAAAGTAAAGCATGCAAGTAATAAAAGTGAGAATTCAATAGGAGAGAAAGGCTAAGCAATAGGATAGTCTTGAGATAAGCAATTCAAGAAGCATGAAATCAATCAATTAGGGTTACCGCACTTAGGTGCTAATCTAGAACTTGAAACACTATGGTATGATCATTCCACTGTCGAGGCTCCGACCCCTTTGTTAATCTACCTAGTCGCTAAACTTTTGGTATGTCCCTAGGTGATTAAATCAAGCATTAGTTCGATCAAGATCAATTGTTCACAACCTACAAGTAGATCAACTGTCGCAGTCTAAAAGAGATTGCCCACCAAATACTAGTTCAGGCGAATGATACAGCACTGTCGAGGCTCAAATCAACCTAAAGGCATATGCTAATTGGCCAGATTAACAACAAGCATTAAGTATAAGCAAAGATGGAGATTATAAGTAAAACCCTAATTGTGATCAATCATCAAGCATACATGAATGCTATCCTTTGACTTCCTATCACTTAACAAGTAAACTACTCAGACATAGAGAAGGAACACGAATTCATATTCATAAGAACAGAGATTCGAATCCTCTCTAGAAAGAGTAACAAGCAAGAACAAAGTAAAAGCAAGCAAAACTTTATTAAGATGTAAAATAGAATGTGGTCTCTCTCCTTCTTGAGTTACAAGGCTAAAAAGAAGTATTTATAATGCTCTAAGTATAAGAAAGCGGCTAAACCTAATCTAGCTAGGTCGGCGCCGGCTTTGGGCTTGAATTGTGCGGATTGGGCTTCAAAAACGGCTTCGGGTCGACCGCGGCGTTCGGACGGTCGGTCGGGACGATCGGCCGGACAGTCGGGTCTTGGGCCGAGTCGGAACGGTCGTGGCCGGATGATTACGGTCGGCCGGCGTGGTCGGAGCGGATAGAGATTTGGCCGATGGTTTCTCGGCCGGACGTGGGACGATCTTCCCCGGCTCGGACGGATGCATCGGCCGTGGTACGCGAACGGGTTGCGCGGCCGCGAGGCTTATTCCCCGGCTCGCGCGGCATGGTCGTGCGCGTCACGGCGTGACGTGATGGTGGCTTGTCCGACAGCGGGGCAATGTTCCCGGGTCGTGATTTGTGATCGGCCGGTGATTTCGAACTTTGGCCGAGACTTCAGAAAGACGGATATGACTTTGGCCGAGCGCGAAACAATAGTTTCTCGGCAAGCCGGATTGCGCGGTCTGGGCCACAATTCTCGATAGAGCCGTCTGGAACGGATCACAAGGATTGGCACAACAAGAACGGATCACAAGGATCATAATGCACCTTTTTACCTAAAATGACTCTTTGCAATATAAATCCATAAAAACTACCTTTTAACACAAGAATCCACTAGAGAAAACATTAGAAAACCATAGTAAAATAGCATAAAAAGTAGGTAAAATAGAGGTATATCAGGTTTTCACAGTGGAGCCGTCTGGTGCGAGTGGGGGACTGGCTCTGTTTTATAATAATTATTATGATGTCAATATAATATTTTCTAATAAAAGGATTATTGACATTGAAGCTCGACATGAAGGAAAGGTCATCTTTTTGTCTTTTGTTTATGGGGACCCAGTGGTTAAGTTGAGGGATCTTGTATGGGAACGGATCACAAGGATTGGCACAACAAGAACGGATCCATGGTTTCTCATTGGTGATTTCAATGAGATTACGGGAAACCATGAGAAACAAGGTGGACCATTACGTCAAGCATCCTCTTTTGTGTCTTTTAACTTGATGATTAGTGACTGTGGTTTTGTGGATTTCCCTAGCCGCGGCAATACACTATCATGGAGGGGTCGAAGGAGGGGGAAAATAGTGAGATGCAGACTGGATAGAGCATTAGCCACAGAGGATTGGCATGACCTGTTCCCGGTCTCTCACGTTCAGTATCTACCTATGATTGGATCTGATCATAGACCAATCTTAGCTACCCTGGACTCAAATATAATGAAGAGGCGGAAACAATTTCGGTTCGACAAACGATGGATTGGTCTGGAGGGCCTTCTGGAGTCTATTAAACGAGGATGGGATACCACTCGAGGAGAGGTGGATCCGAGCTTGGTTGATAGGATTCAAAATTGCCGCCATGAGATATCTGGTGGAGGAAGGACAAACAACCCTACGGAAAACAGAAGATAGAAGAGTTGCAATGGGCTCTGGAGGAGGTACAAAATGATGATAATAGTACTCAGGATGAGCTTATTGACATCACAAATAAACTAAAGGAAGCCTATAGAGATGAGGAGCAATATTGGAAACAGAAAAGTCGGAACATGTGGCTAAAGGATGGGGATTTGAATACTAAGTTCTTCCATGCTTCCACGAAACAGAGGAGAGCAGTTAATAGGATTGTCGGTCTTCATAATGACGCGAATGTATGGGTAGCAGGGGATTTTGATAAAGAGGTGGAAGACGTAGCGGTCAGTTATTTTGATAAACTATTTACGTCGTCCTTACCAGGGGATTTCACGGGAGTACTTGAACATATGCCACACCTGATTACTGCTCAGGAGAACGAAGTTTTGGTTCGCCATGCAACAGAGTCAGAGGTGCACGATGCGTTATTTATGATGCATCCAGAGAAAGCACCGGGACCGGATGGCATGACTACGCTATTTTTCCCACGGTCATGGCACATCATTAAAAATGATGTTATCAAGATGGTTAATAATTTTTAACAGCGGGTAGTTTTGACGAAAGATTGAATATGACCCACATTTGTTTAATCCCAAAGACGGGACGACCAAGTAGGATGATAGAGCTACGGCCAATCAGCCTCTGTAATGTGGGTTATAAAATTATCTCCAAACTTCTCTGTCAGAGACTAAAGGTGCTTTTACCTAGGTTGATCTCGGAAACTCAATCTGCCTTTGTCCCGGGCCGGCTAATTTCAGATAACATACTGATAGATCAGGAGATGTTTCATGGCCTCCGGACAAACAAAGCATGTAAAAGGAAGTTTATGGCGGTCAAAACGGATATGAGCAAAGCTTATGATCGAGTTGAATGGACCTTCATAGAGGCTTTAATGAGGAAAATGGGTTTTGCGGAGCAGTGGATAACCATGATGATGCGGTGTATAACATCGGTAAGATACAAGGTGATACTCAAGTTCCGGCCTCATAGTTGATCCAAATGGCTTCATTTCACTTCGACGTGATGCATGACTCAAGTATCTATTTTTCCATATCAAGATCGTAACTTTTTGACGTCGGGAACTCCTCCGCGCGCGGCCAAACTTCCGAAGCTTCGTTCTGCGCGCAAGTGAGAACTAACACTTGGAGATAAAATGATCTTCTTGACTTGGAAACTTGCATGGATCTTGGTTTTAGGCTCTTTTACTCCCTTTTGCATCCTTTTTGATAGTTTCACCTACAAAGACTTCAAATCCCACAAATACAAGAAAACTACCTCTAAAGGCAAAGACTCTTGCAAAAACAGTTTGAAAACATAGATAGTTATATAGTAAAATCATGTAAAATATAGTGATATCAAACATCTATCTCTGTTTGGGATGATCCATGGATTCCAGCTTCTAGCCCGAGGCCAGCCACATGATATGGGATTAATTTTTACCCCCACCTTCGGGTGAACGAATTAATAAATCCCAGGACAGCAACGTGGAACCTTCCACTATTGAATCAATTATTTACCAGCACAGATGTCGCCAGGATCATCGGGATCCCAACATCCCATGCTTCCCGGTCAGACTCTTTTTAGGTTGGTTTTACACGAAGATGGGCAGATACATGGTTAAATTGGGATACGCGATAGCACAACAAAGTATGGAGGACGGTAGTCCCACTTTCTTCGGACCGGATACAAGACGGCTACAATCGCATGTGTGGAAAATACGATGTACTCAAAAATTGCAGCATTTTATGTGGCAAGTTTTGACCGGATGTATAGCAGTCGGAGTACGATTACGGAGTCGTGGTATGCAGATAGACCCACAATGTATGCAAGGTGGAATGGCGCTAGAGACAGTAAACTCTGTTTCACCAGCTTGGATTTCCGAGCTGTTTTAGAAATAGAGGCTGTTGACAAAAAAAAAAAAAACAAATATAATATAATTAAAATTGTAAATAGCTATTATCTGTAACACTGTAAGGTTAAAGCAGTCAATTAACAAAGTTCCTTAATATGTGTGCAATTGTCTAGAACGACATATAAAGTTAAACGGAGGGAGTACATGTGATTATAGGATTATAGGGTGATGTGTGATATGAAATGATATGAGGTGGAATGCAAACAGGGGTGAATAAAGATGAGATGGTATGGTGCAATCACAATCAATCAATTCCTCTTAACCATCATAGTCGATGTAGTATAAGAGGTTATCAATCCATAAGGGCTAGATGTTGCTCTATGAGAATATGCAAACACAAGAAAGTCAAGCCAAATGATTAAAAGGAGGGATGTAACAACTAAACAACCTAATATAACAGAAATGCAATGCAGAAAGTAAAAGAAAGCAGCTAAATGCAAGAAATTAACAAGAACAAGCAGATGCAAGGGAGCTTGACCAAGAGCTTGATCGAGTTGATGAGCTCGATCGAGTTGAGGATCGAGTTGGTGAGCTCGATCGAGTTGAGGGTCGAGTTGGTGTAAAAACAGAGGAAATGCAATGAAAAGCGATAAAGGTGCAAATTTTAAGATGCTAATGCGAAGATTAGGGTTAAAGATAGGGTTTTGGAACTAGGGGAAGACTATACTTAATCAATCCTGCTTTTTAAACAACTTTTATCAATGTATCTCTTGATATTGAGCTTCTTAATGCCTAGCTAGCCCTTTCCCAAGGTGAAAGCTATCATCCAAGGAATGATCTCATAAACAGGGGGTTAGCCAGTGAGAATCAAGCCTTGGAGGCAGTAGGATCATTGCTCAAACTAATCCATCCAACACCTATGAACTCCATTTCGAGAGCAAGGTTTAGTGGAGCTCTTAGTGGACCTTTTCAATAAATCGCCTATGAATATACAAGCCAGGGGTAGTGGTCATGTAGCCTTAAGGATTGTCCAAAAGAGAGAGATTCTAGATTAAGAACATAAGCAAGAAGGATTAAGCATAAACAACCTCTAACCTATCCCATCTTAAGCCCTAAAGGGAACTACTCACTAATCATGGTGAAATAAACAACCAAATGCAATGAATGAGAACATCAAAAGATAGAGGAGATAAAGATAAACAACTTTTATTGAAATAGCAAGTGCAAATACACAATAACAAAGCCTAGATCTAGGGTTCTATGAGCATGAGCTCAAGAACACAAAGAGAGGCTAAAAAGTAAAAAAGGAAATGCAAATACAAGATTAAATAAAAGTTGAGCAAAAGCTGTGTTTAATTCGTGGCTCAATGCCATTTATAGTAAAGCAAACTAGGTTTAGGGTGATATACCTCTATTTTACATGCTTTTTATACTGTTTTAGTATTGTTTTCTAATGGTTTTTGGCAGGTTTTCTATCTAAAAAGGTAGTTTTACTGTGTTTATAGTGTCTAGAGTCTAAACAAGTGAAATGATGCATTTTGGTGCAAAACCATAGGATTTGCACTTCAAGCCACTTCATACACAAGCATCAACTTTAAGAGGGCCCAGAAAAAGATCTACTCAATGGATTTCATCGAAGTTCCCTGCGTGCTCTGAGTGAGTTAACTTTCCAACGCAACTGGAACGGCCTAATTTGGATGAGTAGAAAAGGAAGGAGTACAACCAAAAGAGTGAAGACTGGTCCAGACGGCTCTATCGAGAATCAGCGCCCAAACCGCGCATAGCGGCTGGCCGAGAAACGTTTGTTTCACGCTCGGCCAAAACCAAATCCGTCCGTCTAAAACCTCGGCCAAAGTTCAAGACCATCCGGCCGACTGAACAGCACGACCCGGGAAGCAATGTCCCGCGGTCGGCCGAGCCACGACCACTCCACGCCATGCCGCGCACGACCATGCCGCGCGAGAAGCAAGGCCTTGCGGCCGCGCAACCTATCTCACGTACCACGGCCGATGGCGCCGTCCGAGCCGGGAAGCACGTCCCGCGTCCGGCCGAGAAAGCATCGGCCAATCTTCACCCGTCCGACCACACGGCCGACCGCGAATCCATCCGGCCACGACCGTTCCAATCGATCCGACCACGGCCATGACCCGATCATCCGGCCGATCGTCCCGACCGACCGTCCGAACGCCGCGGTCGACCCAAAGCCTGTTTTGAAGCCCGATTTCATATGTTTCTTAGACTGCGAAAATTGATCTACTATAATCTAGTGAACTGTATCAGAACCTATTCATTCTAATGCTTGATTTAATCACCTAGGGACATACCAAAAGTTTAGCGACTAGGTAGATTAACAAAGGAGCCGGAGCCTCGAAAGTGGAATGGTTTTATATTCGTGATCTGTGTTCTAGACGGTTCTTAATATCCCAATATCCCTAATCAATTCATCTATCATTGTTTCATTGATCATTGCTTGCTTCTCTGCGATTAGCCCCTGTTGACCTAGCGCTTCTTCCTTATTGATTTACAACCTCGTTTACTTGCTAGTTCTGTTCACCATTACAACCTCAAACCATACTTTTGTTTTAGCTTGATCCAAAATCCATAGTTTCAAAGTGTACTCAATAGCCAGTCCTTGTGTTCGATACCCATACTTCCGCGATCTGTGCACTTGCAGAGGTCTAAGAGTTTGGTAAAACCTGACTCAACATCAAGTTTTTGGCGCCGTTGCCGGGGACTGCAGCAGTACCTTTGAACTCGACTAGGATCTAGTCTAGAACCTTTCTTTTTGCTTGTTTTTGCTTTTGAATTTTCAGTTTTTGATTTCTTTTCTTTGATTTTTGCTTTTGCTTTTGTTTTTCCCTTTTGATTTAGTTTGTTTCCTAGATCTTTTCAGGTGCATGACTAGGAGGTCCAACAAGGACAACCTAGTTGAACATCCGGATATAGACAAGCTTGAGAAGTTAATTAGGAAGCAAAAAGCCCAAGAGATGGCCGACGAAGCAGCTCGCTGATATACCTCTAATTTACCCACTTTTTATACTGTTTTAGCATTGTTTTCTAATGGTTTTTGGCAGGTTTTCTATCTAAAAAGGTAGTTTTACTGTGTTTATAGTGTCTAGAGTCTAAACAGGTGAAATGATGCATTTTGGAGCAAAACCATAGGATTTGCACTTCAAGCGCTCCATGCACAAGCACCAACTTTAAGAGGGCCCAGAAAAAGATCTACTCAATGGATTTCATCAAGACCAGTTCCCTGCGTGCTCTGATTGAGTTAACTTTCCAACGCAACTGGAATGGCCTAATTTGGATGAGTAGAAAAGGAGTTATAACCAAAAGAGTGAAGACTGTCCAGACGGCTCTATCGAGAATCAGCGCCCAACCGCGCAGTCCGGCTGGCCGAGGAACGAATTTCCGCTCGGCCAAAGTCATATCCGTCCGTCTGAAGTCTCGGCCAAAGTCCAAACCACCGGCCGATCACGCAACACGACCCGGGAAACATTGTCCCGCGGTCGGCCAAGCACAACGCCACGCCACGCCGCGACCAAAGCGCGCGAGCCGGGAACAAGCCTCGCGGCCGCGCAACCCGTTCTCGCGTACCACGGCCGATGCATCCGTCCGAGCCGGGAAAAGCCTCCGCACGTCCGGCCGAGAATTTCATCGGCCAATCTTCATCCGTCCGACCACAGCGGCCGACCACGAATCCGTCCGGCCACGACCGTTCCGACTCGGCCACGACCCGATCCGGCCGATCGTCCCGACCGACCGTCCCAACGCCGCGGTCGACCCGAAGCCCTTTTGAAGCCCATTTCATATTTTCAAGCCCGGCTTAACCCTAAGCCGCCTCTAAAAGACCTAGCACTATATATATAGATTTTTCTTTGAAAAGAGAGCCGCCCTTGTATTTCGATTTCCTACTCTAAGTTTTATTGCAATCATGTTTTCTTCATCTCTATGTGTGTTTGCTTTGATCATGTCTGAGTAATCCACTAGTTAGGTTGCTAGGGTTACTATTCAATGAGTTGCTTGCATGATCTTTGATTTCAATGATTAGCTAGGGATTATATTAGAGTCTTTGTCTCGTCTTGTGCACTTAACTAATGCTGATTGCTTTACCGCGCATCTAGTAATCCGATCTTAGGTTGATTTGAGCCTCGACAGTGCTGTATCATTCGCCGGACATATTCTTTGACAAGCTAGGTTTCTTAGACTGCGAAAGTTGATCTATCTATATCTAGTGAACTGTATCAGAACCTATTCATTCTAATGCTTGATCTAATCACCTAGGGACATACCAAAAGTTTAGCGACTAGGTAGATTAGCAAAGGAGCCGGAGCCTCGAAAGTGGAATGGTTTTATATTCGTGATCTGTGTTCTAGATGGTTCTTAATATCCCAATATCCCTAATCAATTAATCTATCATTGTTTCATTTGTAGGAACCCTGAAGAGGAGTAAGAAAAATCACGGATTTCTTTTATGGAATGAATTGACAGTTCTAAAATATGAAGAACGGTCAAAGCAGAAGTGGATTTGGCCGAGTAAAACTCAAGATATGAAGAAAAAAGTGTTTACGGCCGAGAGATGGTCAGCCGGACGGATCGCTGTACGGACGTACAGGATGCGCGGGTCGGCGTGACGGGCAGGCGGCCAGGACATGACCAGACAAGAGAATGGTCATGAGAAGATATAGGAAGGATGGTTGGGCGCTTAAGATCGGCCACGGAAGGTCACATCCGACCGTGGGATGCTTGCGCGGTACACTTGAGCGGTACGTCGAACGAGAGGTTCGGGACGCGGTGGACATGTGATGTGAGAGAATGGAGTGATGTGCATGTGATAAAAAGATACATGTCACAATAAGAGAAGAAGAAAGTGTGAGTGGGACACTTGTCACTATGAGAAGAGTTCATGTAAGATTACATGAATCTACTCTTCTGAGGTGTCAACGTATGAGCGATTTGTGGAGTGTGTCTGGGGCATGTGGCGGCCATAGAGAGGAGCAGGAGACTGACTGATGTACTTGCATTTTACATAGTTTTAGCACATCTTTTATGCATCTTTTGCATAGTTTTAGCTTCCATTTGCATCATATCTTGTTCCTTTTCTCTTCTTATGCATTCATGTTAGTTTTAGGTTGCATTTGCATACATATGCATGTTTGGTCCTTTGAAATAGGTCTTTTGGAGCATTCTGGAGCATATGGGACAAGGAGCATGGAGGGACTTGGCACATGGAAGCAGCTCAACTGGATACGCAAAGGAAGAAGGGAGAAGCCATCTTGAAGACCAGCTCGACCGTCTACTCGACCAACCGGTCGAGTTCCTCAACTCGACCGGCCAAGCTTCAACTCGATCGAGCTGAGAAGTCAAAGTCAAACCCGAAAAATGTTGCTTCCCCCTTGACTTTCCTTTGACCCTAAACCTAATCCTCTTGTATTTAAAGGCTCTAAGCCACGAAAAAACCACCAAGCTTTAGATTATTTTGTTTTACTTTCTTTTAGAACTAATCCCATCTTTGTGTTCTTGAAGCTCTTGCTTCTTGAATCTTAGATCCTGGATAATCTCTTTGTATTTGCACTTGCTTATTTCAATAAAAGTTGTTTAATTTCATCTCCTCTTTCTTATGATGTCTCTTTTATTGCATTTGCTTGTGTTTACATTCATGTGTAGTGAGTAGTTACCCATTAGGGTTTGAGATGGGATAGATTAGAGGTTTCATATGCTTAATCCTTCTAGCTTATGGTCTTAATCTAGATTCTCTCTCTTTTGGATAGATCTTAAGGCTACATGACCACTACCCCTGGCTTGTAAGTCCTTAGGCGACTCCCCACACGAAAGTGATGGCATTCGCTGGAAAAGATCCACTAAGAGCTCCAATATCTCTTGCTCTAGACAATAGAGGTCTAAGGGGTTGGATGGATTAGTTTGGGCAATGATCCTATAGCCTCCAAGGTTTGATTCTCACTGGCTAACCCCCTGTTTCTGAGATCATTCCTTGGTTGATAGCCTCCACCTTGGGAAAGGGTTGGCTAGGCATTGAGAAGCCCAATATCAAGAGAAGCCTTGATACAAGGAGTTTTAAGAGCTAGATTGATTAAGTGTAGATTCCTTTGATTGCAAAACCCTGTCTTGAACCCTAATTCTCTCTTTATCTTGTTAAAGTCGTCACCTTTAGCTTTTTGTCTCAACTCGTCCCTAAACTCGATCGAGCTGGTACTCTGTCTACTCGACTCGAGTCTTGGTCGAGCTGACTTCACTGCTTTGTTTACTTTTATTGCACTGCATTTCATTTTTAGGTTGTTAGTGTTACTTCAAATCTATAACTGCTTGCTTGACTTCCTGGTTGTTTCATATTCTCATAGAGTGACAAGTTTCCCATTTTGGATTGATAACCCTTTGTACTACAACTATCATGGTTAAAGGGAATTGTTGACTGTGTTTGTGTTTGCATCTTACCACCTCATCATATACCACTGATTGCATTCCACTCATCTCATATTTTCACACATACACCACAAATACCTTTCATCACTGACATGGACGAGGTGTCAGCGGGTCAAGGCGTCCTCCTCTGCATGTAGAGGAAACGCCGCCACTTGTCGCCGGAATGATGACACATGCGCGTTGTGGTGTCAAGAAGTGGTGAAGCCACCAAGTCTCCCTCTCAGTCTATAAATAGCTCTCCCTCACCTTTAGAAAACCCTTTCCTTCATCCTTGTTCTTAAGAAGTGTGAAAAGAAAGTGGTTTGTGTGTGTGAGAGTTTGTGAGTGATAGCGAGATTAGTTTAGGCGATCGTTAAGGGTGAGAGCGTGGTGTAAGCTCTAGCGTCCGATAGCGTGGTGGGTCGGTAAGCTTTAGAACCCTTAGCCTTCTTAACCTAAACCTTGTTTGAGCTGGATCTAACATAGATGTTGGATCTAGTTCAAGTGCAGAGTGAAGATCTCGGTTTGTGAGCAGTCCAGCCTGATCTTCGTGATAAGTGAGTCCCGGTAGCTTAAGACTTTAAGCTAACGTGATTTTAAGCAGGGATAGGATCGAGAAGAAACTACTTCTCTTTCTTGATTGCTTGCATGTTGTGTGTTGTGTTGCATATCATGTGATTGCATATTGTGTGATTACATGTCATGCATATTTTGAGTGTTGTGTGAGATCATAGCATGGTGTAAGTGATATACCTCTATTTTACCTACTTTTTATGCTATTTTACTATGGTTTTCTAATGGTTTTCTAGTGGATTCTTGTGTTAAAAGGTAGTTTTTATGGATTTATAGTGCAAAGAGTCATTTTAGGTAAAAAGGTGCATTATGGAGCAAAACAGGAGATTTGGACTCTAAACCAGTTCAATGCCCCTGCATCAACTTTGGATGGAGCTAGAAAAAGATCTACTCAATGGATTTCATCAAGACCAGTTCCCTGCGTGCTCTGATTGAGTTAACTTTCCAACGCAAGTGGAACGGCCTCATTTGGATGAGTAGAAAAGGAGTTATAGCCAAAAGAGTGAAGACTGCTCCAGACGGCCATATCGAGAATCAGCGCCGAACGCGCAGCCGGCTGGCCGAGGAACGATGTTCCGCGCTCGGCCAAAACCGAATCCGTCCGACTGAAGTCTCGGCCAAAGTTCAAACCATCCGGCCGATCACGCATACGACCCGGGAAACATGTCCCGCGGTCGGCCAAGCAACGCCACGCCAAGCCGCGCACGACCATGCCGCGCGAGCCGGGAAACAAAGCCTCGCGGCCGCGCAACTCGTTCCGCGTACCACGGCCGATGCATCCGTCCGAGCCGGGAAGACGCCCACGTCCGGCCGAGAAACCATCGGCCAAATTCATCCGTCCGACCAAGCCGGCCGACCGAAACATCCGGCCACGACCGTTCCGACTCGGCCAAGACCCGACTGTCCGGCCGACCGTCCCGACCGACCGTCCGAACGCCGCGGTCGACCCGAAGCCGTTTTTGAAGCCCAATCCGCACAATTCAAGCCCAAAGCCGGCGCCGACCTAGCTAGATTAGGTTTAGCCGCCTTTACATACTTAGAGCATTATAAATACTTCTTTTTAGCCTTGTAACTCAAGAAGGAGAGAGACCACAATCTATTTTACATCTTAATAAAGTTTTGCTTGCTTTTACTTTGTTCTTGCTTGTTACTCTTTCTAGAGAGGATTCGAATCTCTGTTCTTATGAATATGAATTCGTTTCCTTCTCTATGTCTGAGTAGTTTACTTGTTAAGTGATAGGAAGTCAAAGGATAGCATTCATGTATGCTTGATGATTGATCACAATTAGGGTTTTACTTATAATCTCCATCTTTGCTTATACTTAATGCTTGTTGTTAATCTGGCCAATTAGCATATGCCTTTAGGTTGATTTGAGCCTCGACAGTGCTGTATCATTCGCCTGAACTAGTATTTGGTGGGCAATCTCTTTTAGACTGCGAAAGTTGATCTACTTGTAGGTTGTGAACAATTGATCTTATCGAACTAATGCTTGATTTAATCACCTAGGGACATACCAAAAGTTTAGCGACTAGGTAGATTAACAAAGGGGTCGGAGCCTCGACAGTGGAATGATCATACCATAGTGTTTCAAGTTCTAGATTAGCACCTAAGTGCGGTAACCCTAATTGATTGATTTCATGCTTCTTGAATTGCTTATCTCAAGACTATCCTATTGCTTAGCCTTTCTCTCCTATTGATCTCACTTTCTTTATTACTTGCATGCTTTACTTTCTCTGCACTCAACCAACTTATACTTTTGCCCTAGCTTGTTCTCAAACTCATAACTTGTAGTGTGCAATCTGGTCCTTGTGTTCGATACCCGTTTACTACTTCTGACCTGTGCACTTGCAGAATCAGGGATAGGAAAGGGGAAGACCTGATCCCGCGATCAAGTTTTTGGCGCCGTTGCCGGGGACCAATTCGCACCTACAAGCTCTTGCAAGAGAGCTAGTCTAGGGTTTCATCTTTTCCTTTTTGTTTTTGTTATTTCCTTTTTTCTTTGATTTTGTTTTTCCTTTTTGGTTTTTCCTTTTTGTTTTTAGCTTTTCAGGTTTTCCTAGTTAGATATGGAGAAGGAGCCACAAGCCTCTTCCCCTATAAAGGCGATGCCAATTCGCCACATACCACCTCAAAGTCACCTCTTGAGCGAACAAGAGATGTTAAGCCCTCAAGCACCACCACCTTCATGGGATAGTCCTCCAAGACCATCCACTTTGAAGACAAGAAGAAACTTCTTCCTTACCTTGAAGCAGCCGACCTGGAGACGTCTAGCCAAGCCGCATCACACCAAGAAGAGACACCTTCTAGCCACACCAGAAGAGGAGATTAACCCTGAGCTGATCGAGTTCGTGAAGAGAGATCAATTCCATGATCTGTTTTCAGAGTATGCGCTGGAGCACATAGATCACTTTGACAATCCTTTGTGATTCCTATGGAGTTTTTGACTTTGAGAAGAAGATGATGCTATTCAGCACATCACTAGCTGGACCAGCACTAGATTGGGCGCAGCATGAGCCACTCTCTACAATCGAGTCATGGATCGATTTTAGAGAAGCTTTCTTGGAGATTTGCAAGGACCACCTTTCAAATCCAAGTACCACCACTACTCTCATCAGCTGGAGAGAGAGCGTGATGAAGAAGAATGGGGAGGCATACCACCTCATCCTGAAGTTCTGAATGAAGAGCTAATCAAGCATGTGGAGAGGAATCCTTTCTACAATCTATTTCAGAATGTGCAAAGGAGCATCTATGCAACTTTGAGCAGCTTTGTCATGACTATGGACTTGGAGACAACCCCAAGAAGATACAACTTTTCCAACTATCACTAGCTGGACAAGCCAAAGACTGGGCTAAGTTCAATGCCCAACATGCTTTCAAGACTTGGAATGGATACAAAGGAGCTTTCCTTCACAGATTTGCCAAAGGTCCTGTTTATGTCCCACCACCACGCCCAAGCTATTCACATACCATCCATCATCACCAGACATAAACAAGACACCACTTTTCCCAAGGGAGAGCTATCAAGCTGCGCGCAAACCAAGATTGAAGATATGCTTCAAGAGTACTTGAGAAATCAAGAAGAGTACAAAGAAGATGGAGAGAAGAATCGATTTCATCCATGAGAGCCTTGGAAACAAATCTGAAGTCCTATTCAAGCAAGTGATCAAGCTTGATGAAGACATTAAGAAGTTAAGAGAGGATCATGATCGATCTTTGACCCTAGTTAAGCTTGATGTTGCTTCCAAATATCAAGAGTTGCTGAACAAGAGCATGAGAATTGAAGATACTAGCTATGGCAATAGCAAACATCTTGTTCAATCTACAACCGCCTACAAGCCCTTGAAGGATCATCTCATGCCAATTACAAGAGAGAGAGGAGTCCAACACCCAACCACCCTCCCTTTTATTGCAATGCCATCACAAGAAGAAGCACTACTCAAGTCCATGAAGGACAATGAAGAAGAAGAAAGAGAGTATGAGGAACAATTGAATGATGAAGATGAAGAGCAGAGCATCGACATCAATGCTTCCCCAAAACAGAGCATGGATACACCAAGCCCTAGAGACCCTCGTTTCTCACCAAGAAGTCAAGCTTCTACACTTCCAAGACTGGAAGCAATGCAAAGACCATCACCACCTACTGAAGAAGAAGATACTTGGCAGTATGATCCCATTGATCCCAACAAGATAAGCCCCATGAAGCTTAAAGAGTTCAATGCTAAGGTGAAATCACTTCCATTCTATGTCACTTTTGAAGAAGCTTGGGATAAACATGGTCTAGTGGAGTTCTTTTTCACAACTAGTGAAAACAAAGAAGAGATACACCAACTTTCAGGAAGGCTCGATTTCCCCTTGCCCCTCATGGAGTCAATCAACCACCATCACCACCATCATCACCACCACCCAAGTGGTATGTCAATTCCATATCAAGAGAGAAGCTTGCTGAGTTCAATCAGTTTGTCCAAACTCTTCCAGCCAGCATGTCTTTCAAAGAAGCTTGGCGCCACTACCCATTCACCACCTTTCTTCCACAACTGCAAGGAGACACCTGAGGACATAAAAGAGCTTTTTGAGAAAGCTAAAGTTCAGCCACCTTCAAGACCCTCTACAAGATTGAAGACCCAGGTCAATTCTCTATTCCCTGTCAAGTAAATGGTCATTACTTTGATAGAACACTATGCGATTCTGGCTCTTGCATAAACCTCATGCCAACCCAAACCGCCAAACTCCTTGGCATCACACGCTTGCAACCTGCTCAAATTAGTATTGGACTTGCTAACCATACTATAGCCAAGCCAAGAGGAGTTGTTGTTGATGTTCTTCTAGAGATTGGAGATATCAAGATCCCGGTGGACTTTCATGTCATAAACATTCAAGGAGGATGTGACACACCATTGATACTAGGCCGACCCTTTTTGGCCACTGCTGGAGCTGTCATGGACCTTCCAAACCGGCGAATGTCCTTAGCCAATGTGACAAGACAGTCTTTTACAAGACCATACCATTCATTCACCAAACAAGCTGTCTTACCTCATCACTGCCCAAGGCCGCCCAAGAGAGCCACCAGACCACACTCAAGGTCACAATGAGACAAGAACTAAAAGACTATGTCTCAGGCCGTGCCCTTACCCCATCTCCAACTAAGAGATCCTATCAGTCAAGCTAATGACTCAAAAGAAGCGCTGCATGGGAGGCAACCCATGAAAGGTGTTTTTCTTTACTTTTCTTTTCAATTAGTTTTAGTTAATGTCTAGTTTTGTTTTGAGTTTGGAAACAGGAATCTAAGAACCACACAATGGTAAAGAAGATATACCACAAGAAGAATGTTCATAGTTGGCGCGACTTAGATGGCCGAGCAGAACCTCTCCACGCTCGCCCATGTCCTCTCAAGCCGCCCAACACACCATCCCATCTCATTCCATCTGCATCTCACCCATCCCACCTCACCACACTTGCATTCCATCACTACCATCATTCCACTGCATTCACCATTCTTCAAGTAACACAAATCAGGTTACATCTTTCTTTTTACATTCACAACCACTTTATTACCTCTTTCTTTAACTCCCTTAATTGGATTTTCTTTCACCGGGACGGTGCAAGTTAAGTCTGGGGGGATTGTCGGTACTAATGTGTTTGTTCATGGTTGTTTTGATCTTATAATTGGTTTTTCCTAACCCACTTTTTCAAAACTTCTGTTTTATTGAGTCAAAACCAGTCCGGGAACAATGAACTTGCTTTGAGATTTGATAGTGTCATGCTAACAATCTATGACCCTAGAGCAAACATCAGCTGAAGGCACAAGCCTAACAGAAGCTCCTAGAGTGGATCAGCATGCTAGCTCAGCGAAATTTCTAAGGTAACCAAGCAATCTAGAGTTAACCTCACCCTTAATCAATCTTAATAACTCTTGTCAAGGGGATTGGCATACATGTCGACAGTTCCTTGCTTGATTTTCAATGAGATTTGTCTAAAGAGTTCACCTCTCTCTCCCATCCCAAATGGTAAGTAATGTTTATGAGAAAAAGCTCAAAGAGCACAAGGAAAACAAGTAAGCATGAGGAATGCATATGTCTGTACCTTCATGTCTTATGGAATACCTAAATCAAACAAGGAACAAGCTAAAGACTTATCCTGTGGTTGAAAGAAAGGTCAATAGAAAAAATAAAATGATACCCTAGAAAAGTAGGGAGAAATTGACCTTTCAAAGTTCTGATGTGAGAAAGAGAGAGGAAAGGAACTCATTGCACTTCAAAGACAATCTTGGAGAAGATCAAGTGGGTAAGAACAAGTTCAATTGATCGATGTTCCCTTGATAAAGAACTCACGCTTTAAATTTCTGCAAGAGGTTAACAATAGAGAGTTTGGATTGCTGGATGAGACTAGTTGGGTTGGTATTGTTGCTAAACTTGCAGGGTGTATGTGAAGCTAACCTTATGTTGACTATGTTCTTAGTGGAATACAGGAAAGGAACCTTTCACAGGATTTTCAAAGAAGCAAGAGAGTTCCCACGTTTTTCAAAACCTCTTCACTAGTTTAGATTCTTTTTGCTTGGGGACAAGCAAAGATCTAAGTCTGGGGGAGTTGATATACCTCTATTTTACCTACTTTTTATGCTATTTTACTATGGTTTTCTAATGGTTTTCTAGTGGATTCTTGTGTTAAAAGGTAGTTTTTATGGATTTATAGTGCAAAGAGTCATTTTAGGTAAAAAGGTGCATTATGGAGCAAAACAGGAGATTTGGACTCTAAACCAGTTCAATGCCCCTGCATCAACTTTGGATGGAGCTAGAAAAAGATCTACTCAATGGATTTCATCAAGACCAGTTCCCTGCGTGCTCTGATTGAGTTAACTTTCCAACGCAACTGGAATGGCTTCATTTGGATGAGTAGAAAAGGAGTTATAGCCAAAAGAGTGAAGGCTGCTCCAGACGGCCATATCGAGAATCAGCGCCGAACGCGCAGACCGGCTGGCCGAGGAACGAATGTTCCGCGCTCGGCCAAAACCGTCCGTCCGACTGAAGTCTCGGCCAAAGTTCCAAGCCATCGGCCGATCACGCATCACGACCCGGGAAACATTGTCCCGCGGTCGGCCAAGCAACGCCACGCCACGCCGCGCACGACCAAGCGCGCGAGCCGGGAAACAAGCCTCGCGGCCGCGCAACTCGTTCCGCGTACCACGGCCGATGCATCCGTCCGAGCCGGGAAGAACGTCCCACGTCCGGCCGAGAAACCATCGGCCAAATTCATCCGTCCGACCAAGCCGGCCGACCGTGAAACATCCGGCCCGACCGTTCCGACTCGGCCAAAGACCCGACTGTCCGGCCGACCGTCCCGACGACCGTCCGAACGCCGCGGTCGACCCGAAGCCGTTTTTGAAGCCCAATCCGCACAATTCAAGCCCAAAGCCGGCGCCGACCTAGCTAGATTAGGTTTAGCCGCCTTTACATACTTAGAGCATTATAAATACTTCTTTTTAGCCTTGTAACTCAAGAAGGAGAGAGACCACATCTATTTTACATCTTAATAAAGTTTTGCTTGCTTTTACTTTGTTCTTGCTTGTTACTCTTTCTAGAGAGGATTCGAATCTCTGTTCTTATGAATATGAATTCGATTTCCTTCTCTATGTCTGAGTAGTTTACTTGTTAAGTGATAGGAAGTCAAAGGATAGCATTCATGTATGCTTGATGATTGATCACAATTAGGGTTTTACTTATAATCTCCATCTTTGCTTATACTTAATGCTTGTTGTTAATCTGGCCAATTAGCATATGCCTTTAGGTTGATTTGAGCCTCGACAGTGCTGTATCATTCGCCTGAACTAGTATTTGGTGGGCAATCTCTTTTAGACTGCGACAGTTGATCTACTTGTAGGTTGTGAACAATTGATCTTGATCGAACTAATGCTTGATTTAATCACCTAGGGACATACCAAAAGTTTAGCGACTAGGTAGATTAACAAAGGGGTCGGAGCCTCGACAGTGGAATGATCATACCATAGTGTTTCAAGTTCTAGATTAGCACCTAAGTGCGGTAACCCTAATTGATTGATTTCATGCTTCTTGAATTGCTTATCTCAAGACTATCCTATTGCTTAGCCTTTCTCTCCTATTGAATCTCACTTTCTTTATTACTTGCATGCTTTACTTTCTCTGCACTCAACCAACTTATACTTTTGCCCTAGCTTGTTCTCAAACTCATAACTTGTAGTGTGCAATCTGGTCCTTGTGTTCGATACCCGTTTACTACTTCTGACCTGTGCACTTGCAGAATCAGGGATAGGAAAGGGAAGACCTGATCCCGGGATCAGTAAGCTATGGATCTATTGTGTGTTGTGTGAGATCATGGCGAAAGCTATGGATCTATTTTGTGTGTGGTGTGTGAGGTCATAGCGTGGTGTAAGCTATGGACCTGTGGTGTGTTGTGTGTGGTCATAGCGTGGTGTAAGCTATGGACCTTGTGTGTGTATGTGTGTGTGAGATCATAGCCCAATGCTATGGATCTTTGTGTGTGAGGTCATAGAAACCCTATGGACCTAGTAGTGCGTAAATAGATCATTGTGTGTGTTTGATCAATGATCTTAGCGGTGTATCGTGATGCTCCACCTCCCTGACGGTTCATTCATTGAGAAACCCTCTTGGATTGATCGGCAGGATGACTCAGAGGGTACTTGGGTCGCTCCCATGGCTGAGTACTACACGACGGTGTAGCCCGGGTGTCTCTTGTCGGCGATGGCAAGAGAGTCGGGAGCCGACTTCTTGATCATGGAAGGGTCAAGAATCGGTGTGAGAGTCCGGTCAGGGTTACTGTGTGTTTCCCTGGCGCGGATATCACGGTGAGGGGAGATCCGTGCATGATAGAAGCCGATACCACGTAGTTTTGGTGGTAGCGTCTTTGCGTAATAGTATAGTGGTTACTATTGCGTTTGTGTGTGGTTGATTGTGTGTGGTTGTTTGTGTTGTGTGCTGCATGCATGTTTGGATCCAAGGAGAAACGTGCGATGTTCTCCGTGAGATTGATTGCATGATTGTTTGATTGCTTGTGTGTGCATAATAGTTAGAAAGCTATTATGTTTGTGAGATTGCTTCCGCATTTCTTGTTGATTGATTGATTGTGTGATTGATTGATTGACTTGAAATATTTGCGTGCTTTGATTGATTGAGGGGTTTGGGTAGTGATGTTGTGAGGTTCGGGGTAGAGGGTCCTGGACTCACCAGTAATCTTAGATTACTGATAACTTTTGTTTGTTTTGCAGAAAACCGTAGAGCGTAGAGTGGATAGCGTGGGAAGTTAGGAGCTGGAGTAGTTTTCCTTGGCTTTTGTAAAATACAGTTTGTGATAAAGTATGTTTTTCTTTTCTCTCTTTTTGGCACTAGGCCTCGGCCGAAAATACGTTTAAGTTTTTGTATAAAGCATCTTTGATAAGATTATAAATAAAAGTTATGTTTTATTAAACATGGCTTGTTTGGATGATATTTGTTTAGTCCAAACGAACACAACTCAGTTCTTGTTCTACGGGTTGCAAAGCCTTAGTATTATGGGAACTGAGGTAAAGGGAAACTAGGTAGGATCGGATCCAAGTCTTTGTGATATGGGTCTGGACCTGCTTAGCCTTCCCTATGTGACATCTTCCCAGCCTCCATCACCGCACTTAGGTGCTAATTTAGAACTTGAAACACTATAGTATGATCATTCCACTGTCGAGGCTCCGACCCCTTTGTTAATCTACCTAGTCGCTAAACTTTTGGTATGTCCCTAGGTGAGTAGATCTTTTTTTAGCTCCATCCAAAGTTGATGCAGGGGCATTGAACTGGTTTGAGTCCAAATCCTCTGTTTTGCTCCATAATGCACCTTTTTACCTAAAATGACTCTTTGCACTATAAATCCATAAAAACTACCTTTTAACACAAGAATCCACTAGAAAACCATTAGAAAACCATAGTAAAATAGCATAAAAAGTAGGTAAAATAGAGGTATATCAACTCCCCCAGACTTAGATCTTTGCTTGTCCCCAAGCAAAAGAATCTAAACTAGTGAAGAGGTTTTGAAAAACGTGGGAACTCTCTTGCTTCTTTGAAAATCCTGTGAAAGGTTCCTTTCCTGTATTCCACTAAGAACATAGTCAACATAAGGTTAGCTTCACATACACCCTGCAAGTTTAGCAACAATACCAACCCAACTAGTCTCATCCAGCAATCCAAACTCTCTATTGTTAACCTCTTGCAGAAATTTAAAACGTGAGTTCTTTATCAAGGGAACATCGATCAATTGAACTTGTTCTTACCCACTTGATCTTCTCCAAGATTGTCTTTGAAGTGCAATGAGTTCCTTCCTCTCTCTTTCTCACATCAGAACTTTGAAAGGTCAATTTCTCCCTACTTTTCTAGGGTATCATTTTATTTTTTCTATTGACCTTTCTTTCAACCACAGGATAAGTCTTTAGCTTGTTCCTTGTTTGACTAAGGTATTCCATAAGACATGAAGGTACAGACATATGCATTCCTCATGCTTACTTGTTTTCCTTGTGCTCTTTGAGCTTTTTCATAAACATTACTTACCATTTGGGATGGGAGAGAGAGGTGAACTCTTTAGACAAATCTCATTGAAAATCAAGCAAGGAACTGTCGACATGTATGCCAATCCTGTGATACCCCGTATCAAGACCTAAAACATCCCAAAGGCCGGGATGGGAAGATCAACACTCTGGGATTGGAAGACAAAGACGTGGGATCTAATACAGAGATCACAACGAAGACTTGGATCAAGACATGATCAAGAACGAACGAGCAGAAGTGAAGATACAGCAAGATTGTCCAGGTGGGACGATCATTGTACGAACATGGGAAGAGTCGACAGGACGACGAAATATCAAAGTTCTCCAAATCAAGAAGAGAAGAGTTTGGACGACATAAGAAACCATTCTAAGAAGTTTGGTCGAAGCAGAATGCAAATCGGACGAGCAGATTGAGAGATGGGACGAACGCCCAAGATCTATCCCGCAACGACTGCAAGAAACGTAAATGTTCGGGATGGAGGTATTCCGCACATTTCCAAGCAACTATGTGGAAGCTCAGAAACATGGAAATGAGAGAAGGATTAAAATAGGAGATTTTAATTCTCAAACATGACGGGGACGAAACCCTCCGGACAGGGAAACGTACGAAACCCTCTGGACGAGGAAACGTACTTTTGGAGCAATCTTGTTCTAAGCCAATCAAGTGGTGACACCAGCTACTTGAGGAGGATAAAGATGGTCTAAACCAGTAAGGAGGAGACACCAAGCTACTCAGATGGAGCCAAAACCGTTCAGCCAATCACGCAAGACATTGAGCTGTTGGAATGGGACGAAATTGTGTTGGACCAATCGTGTGTCAACACCACCTAATGGGAGAGAGTGAGGCCGTGGATAAGCATTGTGATTGGATATATTTATCCAAAAATGGACGAATCAAATGGAGATACCCAGCAGCTTTCAAAACGGACCAATCAGGTGTGAGCACTCAACTGCTCGTAAGAAGACAGAAATGTGTTGGACCAATCATGTCTACACACTCACCAGCTTGAGGAAGGAGCCAATAGGAAGGAGCACTCATTCCATGAAGATAGGATCAAGGAGGAGATGCTCATCTTCAATGGACCAATCACGTTCAGCTACCCAGCAGCTTGGGGAATGGACCAATGGGAAGGTGCCATTCGATCCAAGTGGATGGGGATGGGAGAAGCAGCTGCAGGCGTGCCTCAACGCCATTGGTTGCATGCAGAGGAGAGGTGTCACGTTCTGAAGCCCTCAGACGCCACCTCGAGCTTCCCAAAAACCTATATAAAGGCCCCTTCAGTCTTCATTTCAACTCACACCAAAAACAAGAAAGAAAGAGAGAGAAAGTAGAGAGAGAGAGAGGAGAACGCCCAAGAGAAGAAGAGGAAGAAGAAGAGGAAGAAGAAGAAGAAGAACAAGGTGGAGAAGAAGAAGAGAAGATCCAGAGGCGGATCGGGTTCGGGCTAGAGCGGGGTAGGCTAGGAACGGGGTCAGCCGGGTCGTCTAAAATCTGTGAGTTCCGGTAGCTAGGTTATAGTTTATTTCCTTCTATCGTTTATAAGTATGTGGTATAACTCTCTAAACAATAATGTTTAGTAAAAATTGTGGAGAGTTATGCTGCAGAAATCTCTGTGAGGTTGTGACGGGTAATCTTCTAGAGAGAGAAGTTATGCCGTCAGATCTCTTGTGTTGTGAGGTTGTGTCAGGTAACCTTCGGGGAAGGTTATGCTGGCAGATCTCTTTTGTGTGTAAGATTGTGATGGGTAACCTTCGGGGAAGGTTATGCCGTCAGATCTTGTTTATGCAGGTGCATAGAGATGCATCGGTGGGGGGGTTATAGCATGGCTATGCCGCTAAACCTCGAGTGCATGCTAACATGGTGGTGCGTAAGGCCCATATGTTGAGTATGACTCCGATGTGGAAAGATCACGGACGGCTGAGCCGCCAGATCTTTCGAGGTTCGTGTGGGTACTCTTCCGAGGCAAGGGAAGCTCTGCCGCAGAACCGAGGGTATGAGGCATAGTGGTGCGTAAAGGCCCATATGCTAAGTACTGAGAACATGTGGCGTGTCTAACCACATGTTGTTTAGGAAGGTGTAGTCAAGCGCATTCTCGCACGTCAGAGCCCAACCGGATTGGCAGCGTGGAGGCTGTGCATGAAGGGAGGAAGACTCGGAGGATAACCTGGTCAGCTGCCTTGGCCGAGTATGGTACCATATGACGATATGGGATCCAACCAGACATTGGCATGGTGCGCCAGTAAGGCCAATAGATGGGAGGATGAACCGGGTACCGCGATGGACTGTAGTGCCCGGGTGAAGGCGTTCATCTAGTTTCTGTGTGATTCCGGATGAGCGTGAACCTTCACAGGCGTGGGCTGAGAATGTGGCTTATGCACCTAGAGGCCTCACTGCATGTAGAAGTCAAGTATTCCGCTACTTGATTAGGGTTGCTTTGCATATAGATTGATTGTGTGCATTGCTTGATTGATTGATTGCTTGTTTGAGTGTTGTTATAGTCTTGGATTGATCGTACCTGTTCTTGTTTGATTGGGGTACGGTTAGTCTTAAGGCTATAGCAGCAATATTGCATAATTGCTTTGTGTTGCAGGTGGCGGATGAGATCCCGCCTTTTTCTTTTGGGGTTTGGGTTTGGGGAATAACCTTTGTATAGAGGGTCCTGAACTCACTGAGTAACATTAGGTTACTCATGATGATTATTTGTCTTACAGGTAACCCTTAGTTGAAGCCCGTGGACGGGAGGCAGAACAGCTGAAGACCGGAGTAGATTGGCTTGGCTTTTGTAAAACTCGATTTCAGGTTATTATATGCAATAGCTATGCTTTGGGCACTAGGCCTTGCCGGCAAAATAGTATAAAGTTTTGTAAGAACTTGTTTTGACAAGGTTATTATATAAAGTTATCTTTTTACAAATCTGGCCTCTCGAATGAGCAGGTTGCAAAGCCTTAACCGATGGTGGAGAGGGTCATATTCATCAGATTAGCTGACTTGGGCTCTGATTTGTTCTTAGACCCAAGACGGCCTATCTTATGAACCTCGACACTTGTGGCATCTGCGGTTTAGTCTATTCATAGACCGAACCGGGGGTGTTACAAATCCCCTTGACAAGAGTTATTAAGATTGATTAAGGGTTGAGGTTAACTCTAGATTGCTTGGTTACCTTAGAAATTTCGCTGAGCTAGCATGCCGATCCACTCTAGGAGCTTCTGTTAGGCTTGTGCCTTCAGCTGATGTTTGCTCTAGGGTCATAGATTGTTAGCACAACACTATCAAATCTCAAAGCAAGTTCATTGTTCCCGGACTGGTTTTGACTCAATAAAACAGAAGTTTTGAAAAAGTGGGTAAGGAAAAACCAATTATAAGATCAAAACAACCATGAACAAACACATTAGTACCGACAATCCCCCCAGACTTAACTTGCACCGTCCCGGTGAAAGAAAATCCAATTAAGGGAGTTAAAGAAAGAGGTAATAAAGTGGTTGTGAATGTAAAAAGAAAGATGTAACCTGATTTGGTGTTACTTGAAGAATGGTGAATGCAGTGGAATGATGGTAGTGTATGGAATGCAAGTGTGGTGAGGTGGGATGGGTGAGATGCAGATGGAATGAGATGGGATGGTGTGTTGGGCGGCTTGAGAGGACATGGGCGAGCGTGGAGAGGTTCTGCTCGGCCATCTAAGTCGCGCCAACTATGAACATTCTTCTTGTGGTATATCTTCTTTACCATTGTGTGGTTCTTAGATTCCTGTATCCAAAACTCAAAACAAAACTAGACATTAACTAAAACTAATTGAAAAGAAAAGTAAAGAAAAACACCTTTCATGGGTTGCCTCCCATGCAGCGCTTCTTTTTAGTCATTAGCTTGACTGATAGGATCTCTTAGTTGGAGATGGGGTAAGGGCACGGCCTGAGACATAGTCTTTTAGTTCTTGTCTCATTGTGACCTTGAGTGTGGTCTGGTGGTTCTCTTGGGCGGCCTTGGGCAGTGATGAGGTAAGACAGCTTGTTTGGTGAGATGAATGGTATGGTCTTGTCAACATTGGCTAAGGACATTCGCCGGTTTGGAAGGTCCATGACAGCTCCAGCAGTGGCCAAAAAGGGTCGGCCTAGTATCCACATCCTCCTTGAATGTATGACATGAAAGTCCACCGGGATCTTGATATCTCCAATCTCTAGAAGAACATCAATAACAACTCCTCTTGGCTTGGCTATAGTATGGTTAGCAAGTCCAATACTAATTTGAGCAGGTTGCAAGCGTGTGATGCCAAGGAGTTTGGCGGTTTGGGTTGGCATGAGGTTTATGCAAGAGCCAGAATCGCATAGTGTTCTATCAAAGTAATGACCATTTACTTGACAGGGAATAGAGAATTGACCTGGGTCTTCAATCTTGTAGAGGTCTTGAAGGTAGGCTGAACTTTAGCTTTCTCAAAAAGCTCTTTATGTCCTTCAGGTGTCTCTTGCAGTTGTGGAAGAAAGTGGTGAATGGGTAGTGGCGCCAAGCTGTTTGGAAGACATGCTGGCTGGAAGAGTTTGGACAAACTGATTGAACTCAGCAAGCTTCTCTCTTGATATGGAATTGACATACCACTTGGGTGGTGGTGATGATGGTGGTGATGGTGGTTGATTGACTCCATGAGGGGCAAGGGGAAATCGTGCCTTCCTGAAAAGTTGGTGTATCTCTTCTTTGTTTTCACTAGTTGTGAAAAAGAACTCCACTAGACCATGTTATCCCAAGCTTCTTCAAAAGTGACATAGAATGGAAGTGATTTCACCTTAGCATTGAACTCTTTAAGCTTCATGGGGCTTATCTTGTTGGGATCAATGGGATCATATTGCCAAGTCTTCTTCTTCAGTAGGTGGTGATGGTCTTTGCATTGCTTCCAGTCTTGGAAGAGTAGAAGCTTGACTTCTTGGTGTGGTGAGAAACGAGGGTCTTAGGGCTAGGTGTATCCATGCTCTGTTTTGGAGAAGCATTGATGTCGATGCTCTGCTCTTCATCTTCATCATTCAATTGTTCCTCATACTCTCTTTCTTCTTCTTCATTGTCCTCATGGACTTGAGTAGTGCTTCTTCTTGTGATGGCATTGCAATAAAAGGGAGGGTGGTTGGGTGTTGGACTCCTCTCTCTCTTGTAAGTAGGCATGAGATGATCCTTCAAGGGCTTGTAGGCGGTTGTAGATTGATCCAAGATGCTTGCTATTGCCATAGCTAGTATCTTCAATTCTCATGCTGATATCACTATATTTTACATGATTTTACTATATAATTACTATGTTTTCAAACGGTTTTTGCAAGATTCTTTGCCTTTAGAGGTAGTTTTCTTGTATTTGTGGGATTTGAAGTCTTTGTAGGTGAAATAATCAAAAAGGATGCAAAAAGGAGTAAAAGAGCCCTAAATCAAGATCCATGCAAGTTTCCAAGTCAAGAAGATCATTTTATCTCCAAGTGTTAGTTCTCGCTAGCGCGCAGAACGAAGCTTCGGAAGTTTGGCCGCGCGCGGAGGAGTTCCCGACGTCCAAAAGTTACGATCTTGATATGGAAAGATAGATACTTGAGTCATGCATCACGTCGAAGTGGAATGAAGCCATTTGGATCAACTATGAGGCCTAGACTTATTTTCTACCGAGACATGTCCGGTAAGCGAGTAAACGAAGCCCATGGAGGATTTGGAGTGTCTAATGGCCCGAGCAGCAGCGCCAAAGGCCTTGATCGAATAGAGAAGAGGCCTGGCTAATGTTTGGAGCTTTCCTTGGTACAATGTCGGCCCATACACGACGTGGAGAAGAAGGCTTTGCGCATGGAAACTTTCCTTTTCCGCATGAAGAAAACCCTACGCGACTTCGCCCATATATACATGTTTTTAGCCGCTGAGAAGAGAGTCCAGTCCGAAAATTATCAAAGAGTTCACGTGTGAGAGAGAGAAGAGAAGAGAAGCCCTAGGAGATCGTCCAAGAAGAAGGAGGCGCCGCTCAACTCTTGTTCTTTCTTTTTCATTGTTTCCATTTCTATAAACTTGATCTTAAGAGTTTTCAAGGGAGAATCCGACTTTGTTCATCAATAGAGAAGCTTTCTTCATCCCTTTATCTCTTTTAATACTTGCATAATGTTTACAATCATGCTTTGCTTGCTTGTTTGCATCATGGCCGAGTAGATCTCTTAGTTAGGCCGAGGAGATCTATGGTGGCCGTGATGATTTGATTGTGTTGCAACTTATTGGGATTTATCTTATGGATCTTCACCTTTACTTGAGCTTAATGCATGATTACTCTACCGTACATCTAGTAATCTGATCTTAGAGAAATAGAACCACGACAGTGCTGAATCTAGATCTCAAAACTAGTATTTGGTGAGCAATAGATCATAGCCAACGAAAGCTGAGTTATGGTTTATTGTGAACAATTGAATCTTGATCACCTTTAATGCATGTTTGCAATTCTAATAGCCAACGAAAGCTGAGTATATTAGGTTGTTTTAAACATAGTGGTTGGAGCCACGACTGTAACACCCCCGAACCGTCCTAGGCACAGACGTTCCGAGAAGCGCCACAAAATGTCGATGTTCGCCGAATAGGCCATCCCAGACTAAGAACAAATCAGAGCCCAGGTCAGCCCGTTCCACGAACTCGACCCTCTTGACCAAAGCCTAAGGCTTGCCAACCCGTACTTCGGTCAGGAGTTGTGTTAGCCCGGACCAAGCTAATATCATTGGAACATAAGGTCTTTACATAAAACTTTCCTTTATTAAAATATCAGAGTGCTTACAAAATCCGACTTAAAAACATGCGGATCGATCCTTAGTTCCAAACCAAACAACAAACCATTATTTTACAAAAACATACCACAAAACTATTCTGGCGCCTACTGCCTGCAGCGGTCCGCTCTACTTCACACCTCTACGGTCACCTGAAAACATTAAACAAAAGGAATGAGTAATCTAATATTACTCAGTGAGTCTAGGACCTCTATACAAGGGGGATTCCCTAAACTCCAAACACAAACGCCGCGGGATAAGAGCCCCGCCTTCACCTGCATTGAGGTTAGTACACAACCTGCATAACATATGCAATCACACACAATAATGATGCTATAGCCTTAAGACTAACCGTACCCCAATCAAACAAGAACAGGTACGATCAATCCAAGACTATAACAACATCAAACAAGCAATCTATATGCAATGCCCATGCAAACCTAGACAAGTATCTAATACTTGTTTTCTATATGCAATAAGGCGCCTAGGTGCATTAGCCACATTCTCTGCCCACGCCTGTGAAGGTTCACGCTCATCCGGAATCACACAGAAACTAGATGAACGCCTTCACCCGGGCACTACAGTCCATCGCGGTACCCGGTTCATCCTTCCATCTATTGGCCTTACTGGCGCACCATGCCAATGTCTGGTTGGATCCCATATCGTCATATGGTACCATACTCGGCCAAGGCAGCTGACCAGGTTATCCTCCGAGTCTTCCTCCCTTCATGCACAGCCTCCTCGCTGCCAATCCGGTTGGGCTCTGACGTGCGAGAATGCGCTTGACTACACCTTCCTAGACAACATGTGGTTAGACACGCCACATGTTCTCAGTACTTAGCATATGGGCCTTTACGCACCACTATGCCTCATACCCTCGGTTCTGCGGCAGAGCTTCCCTTGCCTCGGAAGAGTACCCACACGAACCTCGAAAGATCTGGCGGCTCAGCCGTCCGTGATCTTTCCACATCGGAGTCATACTCAACATATGGGCCTTACGCACCACCATGTTAGCATGCACTCGAGGTTTAGCGGCATAGCCATGCTATAACCCCACAACCGATGCATCTATGAGATTTGGCGGCATAGCCATCCACAATCTCACATCACCTAATGTATAGATATGCATCTACACTAACAAGATCTGATGGCATAACCTTCCCCGAAGGTTACCCATCACAATCTTACACAGAAAAGAGATCTGTTGGCATATCCTTCCCGGAAGGTTACCCAACACAACCTCACACACAAAAGAGATCTGGCGGCCTAACCTTCCCCGAAGGTTACCCGACACAACCTCACAACACAAGAGATTTGACGGCATAACTTCTCTCCCTAGAAGATTACCCATCACAACCTCACAACAATGCAAACCTGCATATAAACACACAAGAGATCTGACGGCATAACTTCTCTTCTAGAAGATTATCCATCACAACCTCACAACACATTATATAAATTTCTGCAGCATAACTCTCCACAATTTTTACTAAACCTTATTGTTTAGAGAGTTATACTACAGAACCAATAACCAATATGAACAGAAAGCATCTCCCATGCTTTGGTGTTCATACAACCTGCATACACAAACATAGATCCAAAAGACTAAAACTATAACACCAAGACTCACCACTTTAAGAAGACTTCAAGATCCTCCTAGCTTTCCTTAAGCTTTGATCTTGACCTACTCTAATCTTCCACTAACCTCACTTAATTAAGAAAACTTTCTTAATTACTCTCTAATCACTTTTCAGGTGCTCTCTAGCTTTGGGAATGGAATGGTTTGGACTTGGGGCTGGAGGAGCGTATTTATAGGAGTTCAGGAGGCTGCCTGGCTTCTTGGGACGTCTCCAGTCATGCGCAGACACATGGAGACCTAGGCCTAGCATAGCTTTGCTTGGTGGCAACCTACACTGCCTCAGAACGCGACATCCAGGCGGTCTAGGCTAGGTAGCTTTGATTGGTGGCCTCTAGGGCGTCTCAGGACATGACACACGTCATTCCTATCCCTCTCAATGCTCATCCAATGAGCCGACTTCCCCCAAGCATGTGGTGTGGTCGTGCGATTGGATATAACTCATCTTATCCACTAAGCTGATGTGTGCTTCTTTGATTGGTCAGCTCTTGATCCAATCCGTTTCTGCATCTTTCCAATTGCTTCTCATCCACTCCTGAAGCTTCTCCTCTCTCTCAGTGGTTGGTGTTGCATCCTGATTCGTCCAAGTCCATTTCGTCACCATTGAGCACTTCTGTGTCTCCGTCTGATTGGTTTGGACAATCCTTGTCTTTCATGAGCAGCTGGGTGTCTCTCCCTGATAGCATTAGGTATTCTTGGAGTTTATCCACGCCCTCTCTCCTCCATAGCAGCTGGTGTCTTGCCCAATTGGTTTAGGCTTGCTTCGTCTTCATTCAGTAGCTGGATGTTGCTACATGATTGGCCCGTCTTAGAAGCTGCTGTGTATCTCCATTTGATTCGTCCATTTCTGGATAAGATCATCCAATAAGAATGCTTATCCACGGCCTCACTCTCTCCTAGCAGGTAGTGTTGACGCACGATTGGTCCAACACAATTTCGTCCCATTCCAATAGCTCAATGTCTCTACTTGATTGGCTGAATGGTTTTGGCTCCATTGTAGTAGCTGCATGTCTTCTCCATATTGGTTATGATCATCCTTATCTTCTCCAAGTAGCTGGTGTCACCACTTGATTGGCTTAGAACAAGATTGCTCCAATGTACGTTTCCTCGTCCAGAGGGTTTCGTACGTTTCCCTGTCTGGAGGGTTTCGTCCCCGTCTTGCTTGAGAATTAAAATCTCCTATTTTAATCCTTCTCTCATTTCCATGTTTCTGAGCTTCACATAGTTGCTTGGAAATGTGCGGAATACCTCCATCCCGAACATTTACGTTCTTGCAGTCGTTGCGGGATAGATCTTGGGCGTTCGTCCCATCTCTCAATCTGCTCGTCCGATTTGCATTCTGCTTCGACCAAACTTCTTAGAATGGTCTCTTATGTCGTCCAAACTCTTCTCTTCTTGATTTGGAGAACTTTGATATTTCGTCGTCCTGTTGACTCTTCCCATGTTCGTACAATGATCGTCCCACCTGGACAATCTTGCTGTATCTTCACTTCTGCTCGATCGTTCTTGATCCTGTCTTGATCCAAGTCTTCGTTGTGATCTCTGGATTAGATCCACGTCTTTGTCTTCCAATCCCAGAGTGTTGATCTTCCCATCCCGGCCTTTGGGATGTTTTAGGTCTTGATACGGGGTATCACATTCTCCCCCCCTTAATAGAATTCGTCCCCGAATTCCAGTTGTAGAGAGTGGGAACGTTCCATTGTTCCGGTTTCTCCCCATCTTTGAAGATGCCTTGCCTCCTCTTACTCTGTCTTCACGTTGTCCCTTGCAGACTCCTCTTACTCTGTCTTCACGTTGTCCCCTTGCAGACTCCTCTTCCACTGATCTCCTCTGATCCTCCTTGCTCAAATCTCCATTCCCATAACCATCCATCCCGGCTTTAACTATGGGTTATCTAATGTCAAAACCGTACCTTAACCAACACTTCCCTGTTGGTCTTGATCCCGGTCTGACCACTCTAGCGAGGTTCTCCTAACTTCGCTAACCACCTAACCTCTTACTCAAGGATTTTCCGTCCTAGCTTTATTTCCCTCTTGGAAACAGCATTCACGGAATTTCCTTCTATTAACACATCGCTTCCCTTTAAGGGTTCCACTCGATGTGCTAATACCCAAAACTACTTTACCAGAACCACTTGGTTCCAAGGATATCCGCTCTAGTTTCATTTCCCCCTGGAAATAGAAACATCGGAATCTCCTTTCACCACATCGTTTCCCAAAACATGGGTTTCCTAAACGATGTCTCTACCAAACTCAACTTAAACCACTAAACAATCCTACTTACTATACCAAGCAAGCAAGAAAATAAACCATTCAAAGATTGAGTTAGAACCCGAAAAATACCTTTTCTCGGCATGTGGTTTAGGGTTCCTAAACTCTATCTTACATTCTACGGCTTCCACTCCCTGGTCGCCTCTCTCTCCTTGTGGTTGAGCGGGTGGGTTGACTAGTACTGGGGCAGTTCCTTGGACAGTCTGCTGAGAAATGTCCTTTCTCTCCACAAGTAAGGCAAATGTTCTGCCTTTCATTCATCCTTGATCTAGCTCGCACATTGGGACATGCTCTGCTATGATGTCCCGTCCCTCCACATTGATCGCATGGTAGCGTGACTTGAGACGGTGCTGGGACTCTCATCCTCGCGAGTCTTCTGGGAGGCCTTCCCCTTTGGCGTGACACAGTTTGCTCTTGGCCATTACCCTCTGTTCTGAGATTCTCCAATTCTGTGGCGATTATCTCATCCCACCTTCTTGCTAAGTTAAGACCTTCATCATCTTGTGGCCATTCATTCTCTCCGGTACCTTCCTCCGTGGTTTGGTTAAGATCCGGTATTTGATATTCATTGCCTGCCACCGAGTTTGGTGCATCTTGTTCTCCATACATTGTACACCATATCGCATTAGCTTCTCCTTGATCTTGAGGTATGCTTCCTTCTCCATGCTCCATTGATGATGTGTATCCAGCGATCTCGTTGAGTTTCCTTGTCCAGTACGTGGGTGATACGTTCTGGTGTCCAAGATAATCCTCCCATGTTGGTTCCGGCGTATCCGGTTCTTCAGGTTGGTTTGTGAAGACTTCACTATTGACTTGAACTGCAACGGCTGGATCATTGCTTTCTACGCCACTGGCAATGAACGGGTACACGTAGTCCGTTGGATTCTCCTCCGTTGGCATGTACGGGTATACTCCACCTCCCGGTGCAAATACATGCGGCATTGGTATATGCGGTAGAACACTTGGTGGACTATCTCTATCCCAAGAGTTTGGTGTAGTCTCGCCTGAACTGATCTCTATGATTTGGGTAGATGGCACTACTCTCTCCTCCTCAGGGTAATGTACTGGCCATCATGTGTTCGCCATACTCATTCACCGTTGTGCTGGGCTGCACGTTGTCTCTCGGCATAAGATATACGTCCTCGTCCCAATCACTGCTGCTATCATGATCTGTTAGTGTCTGCTGTTCCAAGTCCGTCACTACGATCCAGTGCTCCGAATTGCTCGACGGTTCTGAACTCGACGATCCAGACTCCACTGTCCACTCTTGCCCAGTACTAAACCACGACCCCTCATCATCCACAAACCAGTCACTCATGACTTCAAGCTATCACCACAAAGCAAACATTAGGGTTCCTATTCAACACAATCTATCCCATGGATGATCCGCATCCATCTATTCTATGGATGATCAACACCCATAGACACCTCAAACATGGCTTACCACATTGCACAATGTTACCATAACCTCTATACTGACCATGCAACAATCAAACAAGAACATGCATGATCAATCAGAAATTATAAGCAACATCAAGCAATGCTTAACCACAACCTAAACATTCTACCTATATGCTGCAGACAGACCAGATTACCTAAGGTAGTTTTTGCGACTCCTTTTTGACTCGATAAAACGTTTTAAAAATCCTTGTTCCCGAGCATGATCATGAACCATGCTCTGATACCACCATTTGTAACACCCCCGAACCGTCCTAGGCACAGACGTTCCGAGAAGCGCCACAAAATGTCGATGTTCGCCGAATAGGCCATCCCAGACTAAGAACAAATCAGAGCCCAGGTCAGCCCGTTCCACGAACTCGACCCTCTTGACCAAAGCCTAAGGCTTGCCAACCCGTACTTCGGTCAGGAGTTGTGTTAGCCCGGACCAAGCTAATATCATTGGAACATAAGGTCTTTACATAAAACTTTCCTTTATTAAAATATCAGAGTGCTTACAAAATCCGACTTAAAAACATGCGGATCGATCCTTAGTTCCAAACCAAACAACAAACCATTATTTTACAAAAACATACCACAAAACTATTCTGGCGCCTACTGCCTGCAGCGGTCCGCTCTACTTCACACCTCTACGGTCACCTGAAAACATTAAACAAAAGGAATGAGTAATCTAATATTACTCAGTGAGTCTAGGACCTCTATACAAGGGGGATTCCCTAAACTCCAAACACAAACGCCGCGGGATAAGAGCCCCGCCTCACCTGCATTGAGGTTAGTACACAACCTGCATAACATATGCAATCACAACAATAATGATGCTATAGCCTTAAGACTAACCGTACCCCAATCAAACAAGAACAGGTACGATCAATCCAAGACTATAACAACATACAAACAAGCAATCTATATGCAATGCCCATGCAAACCTAGACAAGTATCTAATACTTGTTTTCTATATGCAATAAGGCGCCTAGGTGCATTAGCCACATTCTCTGCCCACGCCTGTGAAGGTTCACGCTCATCCGGAATCACACAGAAACTAGATGAACGCCTTCACCCGGGCACTACAGTCCATCGCGGTACCCGGTTCATCCTTCCATCTATTGGCCTTACTGGCGCACCATGCCAATGTCTGGTTGGATCCCATATCGTCATATGGTACCATACTCGGCCAAGGCAGCTGACCAGGTTATCCTCCGAGTCTTCCTCCCTTCATGCACAGCCTCCTCGCTGCCAATCCGGTTGGGCTCTGACGTGCGAGAATGCGCTTGACTACACCTTCCTAGACAACATGTGGTTAGACACGCCACATGTTCTCAGTACTTAGCATATGGGCCTTTACGCACCACTATGCCTCATACCCTCGGTTCTGCGGCAGAGCTTCCCTTGCCTCGGAAGAGTACCCACACGAACCTCGAAAGATCTGGCGGCTCAGCCGTCCGTGATCTTTCCACATCGGAGTCATACTCAACATATGGGCCTTACGCACCACCATGTTAGCATGCACTCGAGGTTTAGCGGCATAGCCATGCTATAACCCCACAACCGATGCATCTATGAGATTTGGCGGCATAGCCATCCACAATCTCACATCACCTAATGTATAGATATGCATCTACACTAACAAGATCTGATGGCATAACCTTCCCCGAAGGTTACCCATCACAATCTTACACAGAAAAGAGATCTGTTGGCATATCCTTCCCGGAAGGTTACCCAACACAACCTCACACACAAAAGAGATCTGGCGGCCTAACCTTCCCCGAAGGTTACCCGACACAACCTCACAACACAAGAGATTTGACGGCATAACTTCTCTCCCTAGAAGATTACCCATCACAACCTCACAACAATGCAAACCTGCATATAAACACACAAGAGATCTGACGGCATAACTTCTCTTCTAGAAGATTATCCATCACAACCTCACAACACATTATATAAATTTCTGCAGCATAACTCTCCACAATTTTTACTAAACCTTATTGTTTAGAGAGTTATACTACAGAACCAATAACCAATATGAACAGAAAGCATCTCCCATGCTTTGGTGTTCATACAACCTGCATACACAAACAAAGATCCAAAAGACTAAAACTATAACACCAAGACTCACCACTTTAAGAAGACTTCAAGATCCTCCTAGCTTTCCTTAAGCTTTGATCTTGACCTACTCTAATCTTCCACTAACCTCACTTAATTAAGAAAACTTTCTTAATTACTCTCTAATCACTTTTCAGGTGCTCTCTAGCTTTGGGAATGGAATGGTTTGGACTTGGGGCTGGAGGAGCGTATTTATAGGAGTTCAGGAGGCTGCCTGGCTTCTTGGGACGTCTCCAGTCATGCGCAGACACATGGAGACCTAGGCCTAGCATAGCTTTGCTTGGTGGCAACCTACACTGCCTCAGAACGCGACATCCAGGCGGTCTAGGCTAGGTAGCTTTGATTGGTGGCCTCTAGGGCGTCTCAGGACATGACACACGTCATTCCTATCCCCTCTCAATGCTCATCCAATGAGCCGACTTCCCCCAAGCATGTGGTGTGGTCGTCCGATTGGTTATAACTCATCTTATCCATTAAGATGCTGGGTGCTTCTGTCTGATTGGTCAGCTCTTGATCCAATCCGTTTCTGCATCTCTCCACTTGCTTCTCATCCACTCCTGAAGCTTCTCCTCTCTCTCAGTGGTTGGTGTTGCATCCTGATTCGTCCAAGTCCATTTCGTCTCCATTGAGCACTTCTGTGTCTCCGTCTGATTGGTTTGGACAATCCTTGTCTTTCATGAGCAGCTGGGTGTCTCTCCCTGATAGCATTAGGTATTCTTGGAGTTTATCCACGCCCTCTCTCCTCCATAGCAGCTGGTGTCGTTGCCCAATTGGTTTAGGCTTGCTTCGTCTTCATTCAGTAGCTGGATGTTGCTACATGATTGGCCCGTCTTAGAAGCTGCTGTGTATCTCCATTTGATTCGTCCATTTCTGGATAAGATCATCCAATAAGAATGCTTATCCACGGCCTCACTCTCTCCTAGCAGGTAGTGTTGACGCACGATTGGTCCAACACAATTTCGTCCCATTCCAATAGCTCAATGTCTCTACTTGATTGGCTGAATGGTTTTGGCTCCATTGTAGTAGCTGCATGTCTTCTCCATATTGGTTATGATCATCCTTATCTTCTCCAAGTAGCTGGTGTCACCACTTGATTGGCTTAGAACAAGATTGCTCCAATGTACGTTTCCTCGTCCAGAGGGTTTCGTACGTTTCCCTGTCCGGAGGGTTTCGTCCCCGTCTTGCTTGAGAATTAAAATCTCCTATTTTAATCCTTCTCTCATTTCCATGTTTCTGAGCTTCCACATAGTTGCTTGGAAATGTGCGGAATACCTCCATCCCGAACATTTACGTTCTTGCAGTTGCGTGGGATAGATCTTGGGCGTCGTCCCATCTCTCAATCTGCTCGTCCGATTTGCATTCTGCTTCGACCAAACTTCTTAGAATGGTCTCTTATGTCGTCCAAACTCTTCTCTTCTTGATTTGGAGAACTTTGATATTTCGTCGTCCTGTTGACTCTTCCCATGTTCGTACAATGATCGTCCCACCTGGACAATCTTGCTGTATCTTCACTTCTGCTCGATCGTTCTTGATCCTGTCTTGATCCAAGTCTTCGTTGTGATCTCTGGATTAGATCCAACGTCTTTGTCTTCCAATCCCAGAGTGTTGATCTTCCCATCCCGGCCTTTGGGATGTTTTAGGTCTTGATACGGGGTATCACAACGACAGTGGAAAGACCATACACTAGTGATTCATGTTCAAGACGGCTCTACACACATCCCATGCAACTATCTTTTCATCATTGCTCCATATGATTGTCCTTTTCTTAACTCTTGTTTTAAATTGCTTACAACCCTCACTCACATCTCTTTTGTTTTGCTTTCTTACTCTTAGATCCAAAACCATCTCACATTGCGAGCTAGCTTAAGACCAACCACCAGAAGAAGCCACTCTCACGCCTAATAAAGAAGCCGTGCTACATGGAGAGAGAAGAGAAAGTGAGTGCTACCCAAAACCAAAGGAGAAGAAGAAACCATTGGAGCCGAGGCATGAAAATGTCTTTAAGGACATTAACTCCATCTCACTTCCAACCTTTGATGAATATGGAGCTGAAGAGGAGACTAATGGTGCACCTAATCTCTTTCACAAGATAAGAATCTTTACACCAAAAGATTCGGAGCTTAAAGGTGACCAATCCATTGAAGAGAAGCTTGAGAGAACTATGAAGCTTTTCCCCAAGGCATTGGTTTTCAAAGATGATGTGAGAGATGACTATGGCGCGACAACACCACCACAAGAGCCACTGAACCGGAGAATGGAGAAGCTAAAGGGATCCTTTGCCCTTCAGCCACTCTTCACCACGATTAAAGAAAGAAAAGGAGTCAAGCTAAATGACTTAAAACAAAAGCGCTTTATGGGAGGCAACCCATATGGTTTTTAACTATCTATTTCTATTTTGCAGGAGTTTTTCAAAAATCAAACAAAAATACAAAAATATTTTCTTAGGATGAAGACCCAAAGGAGACCAAACAATGGAAGTGTCCCACCCAATGAGCCCACCCTTGTACAAGGCGTTTCTCTTCAAAAGGTAAGTAACTCTCACCTAGTATTCATTTCTAATCACTCTTGATCTTCATTGAAAAATCGTTTAAACCATTGCACTTTAGCAAATATATTTCATGGTTTAACTTGATTTACATTTGATGATTGGAAAGAATACATAATCACTTGTCAAACTCATTTTCATCACTGAAATTACAAGAGATTGAACTATAGTTTGAAATTTGGATCATTAACCAAGACCAAATAAGAATTTATAGTTTGTGCTTTAATCTCTTGGATTGTGAACTTCAAGTGGTCACTTGAGGATCACAATCTGAGAAACCATCTAATCATGATTTCAAGTGTTTTGCAAGGAGTTACATTTGACAGGAAGGAGAAAGAGCAAACCTATAACCACCTCAAAACCAACATGCATATGGCGGCCAAAGGGAGGTTAAAAGGAGATACATAGGCCATCACACGAAACAAGGCGGCCACCACTTGGGAATGACACAGGAGGGTTATTAAAACAATTCGGTCGAAGAAAATCTCAATTGGCCCGAGTGGATTTGAAGAAATTCAATCCGCCACATTTCTCTCGGCCATGACGAATACACAGGAGACCCAACTCCTAAACGGCGTGACCGAAGTCCACCAAACTTCACAGGCGACCATAAAATCACATTTTGGTCGGCAAATCCAAAAGATAGGACGGAGAAATCATCACGGATCATGAGATAGACGACGGAGCCCATTCTGGCCGATGGCGCGCAAGCAATATGGCCGACAAAACCAAATCACGGCATAGGCGCGCCAACCGGTTGGAAAACTCTTCCTTGAGCTTAACTAACACTTTTATGCAGGAAGAAACGAAAAGGAACGAGCCAAACTTCACATGGCCAAGGAAACTCCTTCCCGGAGCCGACTTGACCATTTTGTGAAGGAAGTCTCAATCCGCTCGTACGAATGCTCCCAAACTTCACCAGAGGCTATAAAATACCAGGTTGGTCGATGAAATTTCAATATAGGTCATGAAATTTTGACGGTTTGTTCTGTAGTTCACAGCACCACATTTTGGCCGACCGAATATACCAATCTCGGCCAAAACACAAACCGGCGGAAACCAAGGCCTGAAATTACAAACTCACCGACCAATATTGCCTAAAGAAGTGTAAATGACCCAAACCAGAACTGATCTTCATTATAAATTGGTCGACATTTGGTAACATCATCCTAAACCTTTTTCTTTTCAATTTTTCATTTGAACTTCATGTTATACCTCTCTTAATCCGATTTAATTTCACCGGGACGGTGCAAGTTAAGTCTGGGGGGATTACTAACAATGTTTGTTCATTTTGGCATTTTCATTTGCATTTTCCCTTTTATTGAGTCAAAATTTTTGTCGAGAATTATGACCTTATCTTGGATCTAACCATGGTTGTACTAATGTTTAAGTGACCATTGAGCAGTTCTTGGCAATACATCTTACCACAGGTGCACTATGAGTTGATCGATCTACCAAAAACGCCCACATCTCTAAAGACTTGAGAAGGATCCATCTTTGACTCCGCCCTTAATGAACTTAATCTTCTCAGCTAGGGGCTTGGCATACAAATGGCATGGTTCCTCATCCTCCCCTTCAAATTAAAAGAAAAAGCGTAAGGTCCAAGTAACCGGGGATTCGGTGGCAAACACCATCAATACTCGCGTCTATGGAAGACCTATGAATCCAAGCAACCGGGGATTCGGTGGCAAACACCATCAATACTCGCGTCTGTGGAAGGTCCAAGCAAAACCTCTATAATAAAGAGAAGGAGTTGAATAAAAAAATACTTCGCTACCCTAAAAAAGGGATGAATCAACTCAAAGAAGTGAGAAGAGAGAGAGGAGAAACATGGAGTAAAAAGACAAGTGCCAAAACAAGGGGATGAGAAAGAATCTAAAAGCCGGCTGATCGATACTCCCTAGTTGAGACCACACCTTTAGAAATGAAAGGAGTCAAGGGTGGCGAATTGGATTGTCTAAGGAGAGGTGGACCGCTTTGGGAAAATCGCAAAACTCATGGTATGTACTTTGTTCTTAATTCAAAACTTGCCCATGCTGTTTCATGTGGATTACTAAAGCACAAGTCAATTTGGATTTCCAAAAGATTTGAGAGTTCTCACGTTTTCAAACCTCTTTTCCTGTTTAGTTTGCTTGGGGACAAGCAAAAGGCTAAGTCTGGGGAGTTGATATCACGACTGTAACACCCCCAGTTCGGTCTATAGACATAGACTAAACCACAGATGTCACAACTGTCGAGACTCATCAAATAGGCCGTTCCAGAACAGAGAACGAATCAAAGTCTAGATCAGCCCGTCCGGTGAATCCGACCCTCTCGACCGTAGCATAAGGCTTTGCAACCCGTACCATGGTCTTGAGTTGTGTCGGCTTGGACTAGCCTATTATCATTGAGTAACCGGGTTTAAAAGAAAACATTCTTTTATATATATCAAACTTGTAATACAAATTCTTACAAAACATTTTATACTTTATGTTGCAGCTGCGGCCTAATGCCAAAAGATAATTATACATACATTACCCGAAAACCGAGTTTTGCAAAAAGCCAACCAAACTACTCCGGTCTTCGACTGTTCTGCCTCCTGTTCACAGGATTCTACTCCGAGCTACCTGTAAGACAAATAATCATCATGAGTAACCTAATGTTACTCAGTGAGTTCAGGACCCTCTATACAAAGGTTATTCCCCAAACCCAAACCCCAAAAGAAAAAGGCGGGATCTCATCCGCCACCTGCAACACAAAGCAATTATGCAATATTGCTGCTATAGCCTTAAGACTAACCGTACCCCAATCAAACAAGAACAGGTACGATCAATCCAAGACTATAACAACACTCAAACAAGCAATCAATCAATCAAGCAATGCACACAATCAATCTATATGCAAAGCAACCCTAATCAAGTAGCGGAATACTTGACTTCTACATGCAGTGAGGCCTCTAGGTGCATAAGCCACATTCTCAGCCCACGCCTGTGAAGGTTCACGCTCATCCGGAATCACACAGAAACTAGATGAACGCCTTCACCCGGGCACTACAGTCCATCGCGGTACCCGGTTCATCCTCCCATCTATTGGCCTTACTGGCGCACCATGCCAATGTCTGGTTGGATCCCATATCGTCATATGGTACCATACTCGGCCAAGGCAGCTGACCAGGTTATCCTCCGAGTCTTCCTCCCTTCATGCACAGCCTCCACGCTGCCAATCCGGTTGGGCTCTGACGTGCGAGAATGCGCTTGACTACACCTTCCTAAACAACATGTGGTTAGACACGCCACATGTTCTCAGTACTTAGCATATGGGCCTTTACGCACCACTATGCCTCATACCCTCGGTTCTGCGGCAGAGCTTCCCTTGCCTCGGAAGAGTACCCACACGAACCTCGAAAGATCTGGCGGCTCAGCCGTCCGTGATCTTTCCACATCGGAGTCATACTCAACATATGGGCCTTACGCACCACCATGTTAGCATGCACTCGAGGTTTAGCGGCATAGCCATGCTATAACCCCACAACCGATGCATCTCTATGCACCTGCATAAACAAGATCTGACGGCATAACCTTCCCCGAAGGTTACCCATCACAATCTTACACACAAAAGAGATCTGCCAGCATAACCTTCCCCGAAGGTTACCTAACACAACCTCACAACACAAGAGATCTGACGGCATAACTTCTCTCTCTAGAAGATTACCCGTCACAACCTCACAGAGATTTCTGCAGCATAACTCTCCACAATTTTTACTAAACATTATTGTTTAGAGAGTTATACCACATACTTATGAAACGATAGAAGGAAATAAACTATAACCTAGCTACCGGAACTCACAACTTTTAGACGACCCGGCTGACCCCGACCCTAGCCTCCCCGCTCTAGCCCGATGCTGATCCGCCTCTGGATCTTCTTCTCTTCTCCTCTTTCTTCTTCTTTCTCTTCTCCTCCACGCCTTCTCACTTTCTCTTTCTAGTTTCTCTCTCTAGATTTCAGTTTGTGGTGTGGTTTGGAAATGAAGACCAAGGGGGCCTTTATATAGGTTTTTCGGAAGCTCGAGGTGGCGTCTGGTGGCTTCAGAACGCGACACCTTGCTTCCGCATGCAACCAATGGCATTGCTGCACGCCTGGAGCAGCTTCTTCCATCCCAATCCACTTGAGTCAAATGGCACCTTCCCATTGGTCCATTCCCCAAGCTGCTGGGTAGCTGAACGTGATTGGTTCGTTGAGGATGAGCATCTCCTCCTTGATCCTATCTTCCTGGATCAAGTGGCTCCTTCCCATTGGCTCATTGTTGATCAGATCAACAAGCTGCTGAGTGTCTAGACCTGATTCGTCCAACACATTCCTGTCTTCTCATGAGCAGCTGAGTGCTCACACCTGATTGGTGCAACACATTTTCGTCCCATATGAGCAGCTGAGTGCCCATACTTGATTGGTTAGCTTGAACTTATCCTTGATAAGTAGCTGGTGTCGCCATTCCATTGGCCTTGTGCTTCCTTCTACGTTTCCTCTTGCAGAAGGTTTCGTACGTTTCCCTGTACGGAGGGTTTCGTACGTTTCCTTGACTGGAGGGTTTCGTCCCGTCGTACTTGAGAATTAAAATCTCTCATTTTAATCCTTCCGTCATTTCCATGTTTCTGAACTTCCACATAGCTGCTTGGAAATGTGCGGGAAACCTCTATCCCGGGACATTTGCGTTTCTCGCGCTTGTCATGGGATGGATCCTCCGTGTAGTGGGATGGTCGTTTCTGGCCGTCCGTCCCGTCTATGTCTTGACCGTGCTTAGCTAGCATGAGGGATATTACAACGACAGTGGAAAGACCATACACTAGTGATTCATGTTCAAGACGGCTCTACACACATCCCATGCAACTATCTTTTCATCATTGCTCCATATGATTGTCCTTTGCTTAACTCTTGTTTTAAATTGCTTACAACCCTCACTCACATCTCTTTTGTTTTGCTTTCTTAATCTTAGATCCAAAACCATCTCATATTGCGAGCTAGCTTAAGACCAATCTCTCAAGGTGTTAAGTGTTAACACTTCCTCCTCGTGTTCGACCCCGACTACAACACGGCTGTGCACTTGCAGCTCATTAGTTGGGTTTATAAATTGTGAAAATTTGAGGCAATCTAAACCCGCCATCACATGCTCTTGTTCAGCAGCTCTTGATATTTGGAAGCAACATCAAGCTTAACTAGGGTCAAAGATCGATCATGATCCTCTCTTAACTTCTTAATGTCTTCATCAAGCTTGATCACTTGCTTGAATAGGACTTCAGATTTGTTTCCAAGGCTCTCATGGATGAAATCGATTCTCCTCTCCATCTTCTTTGTATCTCTTCTTGATTTCTCAAGTACTCTTGAAGCATATCTTCAATCTTGGTTAGGCGTGCAGCTTGATAGCTCTCCCTTGGGAAAAGTGGTGTCTTGTTTATGTCTTGATGATGGATGGTGATGTGAATAGCTTGGGCGTGGTGGTGGGACATAAATAGGACCTTATCAAATCTGTGGAGGAAAGCTCCTTTGTATCCATTCCAAGTCTTGAAAGCATGTTGGGCATTGAACTTAGCCCATTCTTTGGCTTGTCCAGCTAGTGATAGTTGGAAAAGTTGTATCTTCTTGGGGTTGTCTCCAAGTCCATAGTCATGAAAAGCTGCTCAAAGTTGCATAGATGCTCCTTTGCACATTCTGAAGTAGAGTTGTAGAAAGGATTCCTCTCCACATGCTTGATTAGCTCTTCATTCAGAACTTCAGGATGAGGTGGTATGCCTCCCCATTCTTCTTCATCACGCTCTCTCTCCAGCTGATGAGAGTAGTGGTAGGTACTTGGATTTGAAAGGTGGCTTCTTGCAAATCCTTTCCAAGAAAGCTTCTCTAAAATCGATCCATGACTCGATTGTAGAGGTGGTTCATGCTGCGCCCAATCTAGTGCTGGTCCAGCTAGTGATGTGCTGAATAGCATCATCTTCTTCTCAAAGTCAAAAACTCCATAGGAATCACAAAGGTCATGTCAAAGTGATCTATGTGCTCCAGCGCATACTCTGAAAACAGATCATGGAATTGATCTCTCTTCACGAACTCGATCAGCTCAGGGTTAATCTCCTCTTCTGGTGTGGCTAGAAGGTACTCTTCTTGGTGTGATGCGGCTTGGCTAGACGTCTCCAGGTCGGCTGCTTCAAGGTAAGGAAGAAGTTTCTTCTTTGTCTTCAAAGTGGATGGTCTTGGAGGACTATCCCATGAAGGTGGTGGTGCTTGAGGGCTTAACATCTCTTGTTCGCTCAAGAGGTGCTTTGAGGTGGTATGTGGCGAATTGGCATCGCCTTTATAGGGGAAGAGGCTTGTGGCTCCTTCTCCATATCTAACTAGGAAAACCTGAAAAGCTAAAAACAAAAAGGAAAAACCAAATCAAAAGAAAAAAGGAAATAACAAAAACAAAAAGGAAAAGTGAAAACCCTAGACTAGCTCTCTTGCAAGAACTTGTAGGTGCGAATTGGTCCCCGGCAACGGCGCCAAAAACTTGATCGCGGGATCAGGTCTTCCCCTTTCCTATCCCTGATTCTGCAAGTGCACAGGTCAGAAGTAGTAAACGGGTATCGAACACAAGGACCAGATTGCACACTACAAGTTATGAGTTTGAGATCAAGCTAGGGCAAAAGTATAAGTTGGTTGAGTGCAGAGAAAGTAAAGCATGCAAGTAATAAAAGTGAGAATTCAATAGGAGAGAAAGGCTAAGCAATAGGATAGTCTTGAGATAAGCAATTCAAGAAGCATGAAATCAATCAATTAGGGTTACCGCACTTAGGTGCTAATCTAGAACTTGAAACACTATGGTATGATCATTCCACTGTCGAGGCTCCGACCCCTTTGTTAATCTACCTAGTCGCTAAACTTTTGGTATGTCCCTAGGTGATTAAATCAAGCATTAGTTCGATCAAGATCAATTGTTCACAACCTACAAGTAGATCAACTGTCGCAGTCTAAAAGAGATTGCCCACCAAATACTAGTTCAGGCGAATGATACAGCACTGTCGAGGCTCAAATCAACCTAAAGGCATATGCTAATTGGCCAGATTAACAACAAGCATTAAGTATAAGCAAAGATGGAGATTATAAGTAAAACCCTAATTGTGATCAATCATCAAGCATACATGAATGCTATCCTTTGACTTCCTATCACTTAACAAGTAAACTACTCAGACATAGAGAAGGAACACGAATTCATATTCATAAGAACAGAGATTCGAATCCTCTCTAGAAAGAGTAACAAGCAAGAACAAAGTAAAAGCAAGCAAAACTTTATTAAGATGTAAAATAGATGTGGTCTCTCTCCTTCTTGAGTTACAAGGCTAAAAAGAAGTATTTATAATGCTCTAAGTATGAAAGCGGCTAAACCTAATCTAGCTAGGTCGGCGCCGGCTTTGGGCTTGAATTGTGCGGATTGGGCTTCAAAAACGGCTTCGGGTCGACCGCGGCGTTCGGACGGTCGGTCGGGACGATCGGCCGGACAGTCGGGTCTTGGCCGAGTCGGAACGGTCGTGGCCGGATGATTACGGTCGGCCGGCGTGGTCGGACGGATGAGATTTGGCCGATGGTTTCTCGGCCGGACGTGGGACGTCTTCCCGGCTCGGACGGATGCATCGGCCGTGGTACGCGAAGGGTTGCGCGGCCGCGAGGCTTGTTCCCGGCTCGCGCGGCATGGTCGTGCGCGGGTGGCGTGACGTGTGTGGCTTGGCCGACCGCGGGACAATGTTTCCCGGGTCGTGATGTGATCGGCCGGTGGTTTGAACTTTGGCCGAGACTTCAGACGGACGGATATGACTTTGGCCGAGCGCGGAACATGTTCCTCGGCCAGCCGGACTGCGCGGTTCGGGCATTCTCGATAGAGCCGTCTGGAGCAGTCTTCACTCTTTTGGCTATAACTCCTTTTCTACTCATCCAAATGAGGCCGTTCCACTTGCGTTGGAAAGTTAACTCAATCAGAGCACGCAGGGAACTGGTCTTGATGAAATCCATTGAGTAGATCTTTTTCTAGCTCCATCCAAAGTTGATGCAGGGGCATTGAACTGGTTTAGAGTCCAAATCTCTGTTTTGCTCCATAATGCACCTTTTTACCTAAAATGACTCTTTGCACTATAAATCCATAAAAACTACCTTTTAACACAAGAATCCACTAGAAAACCATTAGAAAACCATAGTAAAATAGCATAAAAAGTAGGTAAAATAGAGGTATATCACTGGTGCAGGCAATGGAACGCCTCCTCCACCAGACTTCTTGAAGATTGTCACAACGATGAAAACGTTGGGGACATACAATTTTGCGGGAAACCCAGATCCTTATGCGGCAGATGCGTGGATGCAATACCTTGAGAAGAACTTTGCAGCGACTAGATGTCCTCCGAAGTTCAAGAAGGATGTGGCGATTTACTATCTTGAGAAGGAAGCACTAGATTGGTGGAACAGTCTTGATCGTCAGACTTACCATATGATCTTTACTTGAGAGAGCTTCCAGAAGGAGTTCAAGCGAAAGTACTTTCCCCAGAAGCACGTGATCGCATGGAGCAAGCATTTGTTGCTCTAACTCAAGGAAACCGGAGTGTGAGAGAGTATGAGGCGGAATTCATAAAGTTACAAAAGTATGTGACATGGCGATGAGAGAGCAATGGTTCGCAAGTTCCTTCAGGGCTTGAAACCAGAGATTGGTGGACGTCTACAGGCGTTGACATATACCCATCTCTATGAAGTGATAGAGAAGGCAGTAAACGTGGAGACGTTTGTGGCTAAGGAACAAGCCGTGATGAGCAAGCCAAGAGAGAATCGGAACCAAGGTGGTTCGAACTCTAAGATAGCTCAACAATCCAAGAAGGGTAATATGTTTGATCTCAAAGTTGTGGTTCTGCACTGGTGGTGGAACAATCCCTTGTCTCTGTTGGTGGCGGTTTGGAGCATCTCCTTGACCAATCGGTCGAGTTTGCCTAGCTCGACCGAGTCCATTACCCAAAGGGTTTCCATTCCCCTCTGGTATGTCCATTGTATCAGCAACAAGCACCTCAGGTTCCTCTTGTACCCTCTGTGACCTCTGAACCCTCTTTCTACCCGTTGTGAAGTCTAGCTCGACCAAGTCTTCTTAGACCGACTCGATCGAGTTCGCATACACCTGCAAAAAGAGACAAAAACCCAGCAGTACAATAGAACAGGGGTGGTATAGCTTGATCGTCCAAGTATGTTTGAAACTCAAATGCAACAAAAATATTCCCAAATCGGCAACGGCGCCAAATTGATGATAGGATTTGTGTGTGTGTGAAAAGATATGAAATGAGATGTGTGGAATGCAATCAGTGGTATGATGAGGTGGTAAGATGCAAACACAAACACAGTCAACAATTCCCTTTAACCATGATAGTTGAAGTAGTACAAAGGGTTATCAATCCAAAATGGGAAACTTGTCACTCTATGAGAATATGAAACAACCAGAAGTCAAGCAAGCAGTTATAGTGAAGTAACACTAACAACCTAAATGAAATGAAATGCAATGCAAAATAAAATAAAGCAAGAGCAAAGCTCGACCAAGGACTCGAGTCGAGTGGAACAGAGTACCAGCTCGATCGAGTTTAGGGTCGAGTTGAGACAAAAAGCTAAAGGTGACGACTTTAACAAGCTAAGAGAGAATTAGGGTTCAAGACAGGGTTTTGCAATCAAAGGAATCTACACTTAATCAATCTAGCTCTTAAAACTCCTTGTATCAAGGCTTCTCTTGATATTGGGCTTCTCAATGCCTAGCCAACCCTTTCCCAAGGTGAGGCTATCAACCAAGGAATGATCTCAGAAACAGGGGGTTAGCCAGTGAGAATCAAACCTTGGAGGCTATAGGATCATTGCCCAAACTAATCCATCCAACCCCTTAGACCTCTATGTCTAGAGCAAGAGATATTGGAGCTCTTAGTGGATCTTTTCCAGCGAATGCCATCACTTTCGTGTGGGGAGTCGCCTAAGGACTTACAAGCCAGGGGTAGTGGTCATGTAGCCTTAAGATCTATCCAAAAGAGAGAGAATCTAGATTAAGACCATAAGCTAGAAGGATTAAGCATATGAAACCTCTAATCTATCCCATCTCAAACCCCAATGGGTAACTACTCACTACACATGAATGTAAACACAAGCAAATGCAATAAAAGAGACATCATAAGAAAGAGGAGATGAAATTAAACAACTTTTATTGAAATAAGCAAGTGCAAATACAAAGAGATTATCCAGGATCTAAGATTCAAGAAGCAAGAGCTTCAAGAACACAAAGATGGATTAGATCTCTAAAAAGTAAAAGACAATAAATTAAAAGAAACTAAAACAAAAATCTAAAGCTTGGTGGTTTTTTCGTGGCTTTTAGCCTTTAAATACAAAGAGGATTAGGTTTAGGGTCAAAGGAAAGTCAAGGGGGAAGCAACATTTTTCGGGTTTGACTTTGACTTCTCAGCTCGATCGAGTTGAAGCTTGGCCGGTCGAGTTGAGGAACTCGACCGGTTGGTCGAGTAGACGGTCGAGCTGGTCTTCAAGATGGCTTCTCCCTTCTTCCTTTGCGTATCCAGTTGAGCTGCTTCCATGTGCCAAGTCCCTCCATGCTCCTTATGTCCCATATGCTCCAGAATGCTCCAAAAGACCTATTTCAAAGGACCAAACATGCATATGTATGCAAATGCAACCTAAAACTAACATGAATGCATAAGAAGAGAAAAGGAACAAGATATGATGCAAATGGATGCTAAAACTATGCAAAAGATGCATAAAAGATGTGCTAAAACTATGTAAAATGCAAGTACATCAACACCCCCAAACTTGAACTTTGCTTGCCCTCAAGCAAACAAATAGAACAAGAAAGAGATGAGGTTTGAAAATAGCTGATTCAACACTTAAAAACATGTCCTCAAAAGCGATTTGCTAAATGTCCAACTTAGAGATTCTAGAATGCAACAAGGTGAGAGATATTCATTAAGATTTAACCATGCTTATCAACATCAATCCCACTTCACAGTCACTCAAACAATGCATTCAAATCAGCAAATCCCTTTAACATTCATTAAGCAAAAACAGTGAACCAAAAACATGCAAGATCAATCAACTCATTTGGTTTCAAGGGTTTATGGGTTAAGAGACAAAGAGGGTCTCTTTTGTATGGTGGTTTAGTAACAGGGATCTCTCAAGAAAGTGGCTTTGCTTTGGCAGAAGGCTAAGTGTTAGAACCAAAGATGATGCAAGAACAGCAGCTCGAGCCGCCTAATCCTAACTCGATCGAGTTCAACACTTAGAGCTTTTTAGAACAAAATCCTAACTACCCTTTTTGGCATTTCGCCTTTGAAACTGAGGAGCTTTGCTCACTTTTCTTTTAAGAACATCCTAGGGAGAGGCTTCTTGAGGTAACATCTAGCGGTTTGGGATTTTCTAAACACTTAGGGAACTTTTCTTTCCTTTTTGGACACTTGAGGCTTTGCCTTCTTTTCATTCTACTTAGAACCCTTTTTACTTCCTTTTTTAACTTCCCAAACCTTTACTAGACCCTTTTTAACACTGCCAACTCCCTGGACTTAACTAAACTCTTTTTCCTTTGGATTTTCCCAATTTTACCACTTTTCTGGTTTTGACACCCAACTCGATCGAGCTCGAGTTGGCACCCCCAAACTTAGCCTGAAAACAATCCCAAGAGAACTAGACAACTAGAACTACTGCTCCTGCTTGTAATACCCCCGAACCGTCCTAGGCACAGACGTTCCGAGAAGCGCCACAAAATGTCGATGTTCGCCGAATAGGCCATCCCAGACTAAGAACAAATCAGAGCCCAGGTCAGCCCGTCCCACGAACTCGACCCTCTTGACCAAAGCCTAAGGCTTGCCAACCCGTACTTCGGTCAGGAGTTGTGTTAGCCCGGACCAAGCTAATATCATTGGAACATAAGGTCTTTACATAAAACTTTCCTTTATTAAAATATCAGAGTGCTTACAAAATCCGACTTATTTAAAAACATGCGGATCGATCCTTAGTTCCAAACCAAACAACAAACCATTATTTTACAAAAACATACCACAAAACTATTCTGGCGCCTACTGCCTGCAGCGGTCCGCTCTACTTCACACCTCTACGGTTACCTGAAAACATTAAACAAAAGGAATGAGTAATCTAATATTACTCAGTGAGTCTAGGACCTCTATACAAGGGGGATTCCCTAAACTCCAAACGCCGCGGGCTTGTAATCCCGCCTCCACCTGCAATGAGGTTAGCACAACACAACATATGCAATCACATGCATTATTGATGTCATAGTCTTAAGACTAACCGTACCCCAATCAAACAAGAACAGGTACGATCAACCCAAGACTATAACAACAATCAAACAATCTATATGCAATGCCCATGCAAACCTAGACAAGTATCTAATACTTGTTTTCTATATGCAATAAGGCGCCTAGGTGCATTAGCCACATTCTCTGCCCACGCCTGTGAAGGTTCACGCTCATCCGGAATCACACAGAAACTAGATGAACGCCTTCACCCGGGCACTACAGTCCATCGCGGTACCCGGTTCATCCTTCCATCTATTGGCCTTACTGGCGCACCATGCCAATGTCTGGTTGGATCCCATATCGTCATATGGTACCATACTCGGCCAAGGCAGCTGACCAGGTTATCCTCCGAGTCTTCCTCCCTTCATGCACAGCCTCCTCGCTGCCAATCCGGTTGGGCTCTGACGTGCGAGAATGCGCTTGACTACACCTTCCTAGACAACATGTGGTTAGACACGCCACATGTTCTCAGTACTTAGCATATGGGCCTTTACGCACCACTATGCCTCATACCCTCGGTTCTGCGGCAGAGCTTCCCTTGCCTCGGAAGAGTACCCACACGAACCTCGAAAGATCTGGCGGCTCAGCCGTCCGTGATCTTTCCACATCGGAGTCATACTCAACATATGGGCCTTACGCACCACCATGTTAGCATGCACTCGAGGTTTAGCGGCATAGCCATGCTATAACCCCACAACCGATGCATCTATGAGATTTGGCGGCATAGCCATCCACAATCTCACATCACCTAATGTATAGATATGCATCTACACTAACAAGATCTGACGGCATAACCTTCCCCGAAGGTTACCCATCACAATCTTACACAGAAAAGAGATCTGTTGGCATATCCTTCCCGAAGGTTACCCAACACAACCTCACACACAAAAGAGATCTGGCGGCCTAACCTTCCCCGAAGGTTACCCGACACAACCTCACAACACAAGAGATTTGACGGCATAACTTCTCTCCCTAGAAGATTACCCATCACAACCTCACAACAATGCAAACCTGCATATAAACACACAAGAGATTTGACGGCATAACTTCTCTCCTAGAAGATTACCCATCACAACCTCATAACACATTATATAAATTTCTGCAGCATAACTCTCCACAATTTTTACTAAACCTTATTGTTTAGAGAGTTATACTACAGAACCAATAACCAATATGAACAGAAAGCATCTCCTATGCTTTGGTGTTCATACAACCTGCATACACACACAAAGATCCAAAATACTAAAACTATAACACCAAGACTCACCACTTTAAGAAGACTTCAAGACCCTCCTAGCTTTCCTTAAGCTTTGATCTTGACCTACTCTAATCTTCCACTAACCTCACTTAATTAAGAAAACTTTCTTAATTACTCTCTAATCACTTTTCAGGTGCTCTCTAGCTTTGGGAATGGAATGGTTTGGACTTGGGGCTGGAGGAGCGTATTTATAGGAGTTCAGGAGGCTGCCTGGCTTCTTGGGACGTCTCCAGTCATGCGCAGACACATGGAGACCTAGGCCTAGCATAGCTTTGCTTGGTGGCAACCTACACTGCCTCAGAACGCGACATCCAGGCGGTCTAGGCTAGGTAGCTTTGATTGGTGGCCTCTAGGGCGTCTCAGGACATGACACACGTCATTCCTATCCCCTCTCAATGCTCATCCAATGAGCCGACTTCCCCCAAGCATGTGGTGTGATCGTCCGATTGGTTATAACTCATCTTATCCATTAAGATGTTGGGTGCTTCTGTCTGATTGGTCAGCTCTTGATCCAATCCGTTTCTGCATCTCTCCACTTGCTTCTCATCCACTCCTGAAGCTTCTCCTCTCTCTCAGTGGTTGGTGTTGCATCCTGATTCGTCCAAGTCCATTTCGTCTCCATTGAGCATCTCAATGTCTCCATTTGATTGGTTTGGACAATTCTTGTCTCTCATGAGCAGCTGGGTGTCTCTCCCTGATAGGATTAGGTCTTCTTGGAGCTTATCCACGATCTATCGCCTCCATAGCAGCTGGTGTCGTTGCCCAATTGGTTTAGGCTTGCTTCGTCTTCATTTGGTAGCTGGATGTTGCTACATGATTGGCCCGTCTTAGAAGCTGCTGTGTATCTCCATTTGATTCGTCCATTTCTTTTGGATAAGATCATCCAATAAGAATGCTTATCCACGGCTTCACTCTCTCCTAGCAGTAGTGTTGACGCACGATTGGTCCAACACAATTTCGTCCCATTCCAATAGCTCAATGTCTCTACGTGATTGGCTGAATGGTTTTGGCTCCATTGTAGTAGCTGCATGTCTTCTCCATATGGTTATGATCATCCTTATCTTCTCCAAGTAGCTGGTGTCACCACTTGGTTGGCTTAGAACAAGATTGCTCCAAATGTACGTTTCCTCGTCCAGAGGGTTTCGTACGTTTCCCTGTCTGGAGGGTTTCGTCCCCGTCGTGCTTGAGAATTAAAATCTCCTATTTTAATCCTTCTCTCATTTCCATGTTTCTGAGCTTCACATAGTTGCTTGGAAATGTGCAGAATACCTCCATCCCGAACATTTACGCTTCTTGCAGTCGTTGCGGGATAGATCTTGGCGTCCGTCCCATCTCTCAATCTGCTCGTCCGATTTGCATTCTGCTTCGACCAAACTTCTTAGAATGGTCTCTTATGTCGTCCAAACTCTTCTCTTCTTGATTTGGAGAACTTTGATATTTCGTCGTCCTGTTGACTCTTCCCATGTTCGTACAATGATCGTCCCACCTGGACAATCTTGCTGTATCTTCACTTCTGCTCGATCGTTCTTGATCCTGTCTTGATCCAAGTCTTCGTTGTGATCTCTGGATTAGATCCAACGTCTTTGTCTTCCAATCCCAGAGTGTTGATCTTCCCATCCCGGCCTTTGGGATGTTTTAGGTCTTGATACGGGGTATCACATTCTCCCCCCCCTTAATAGAATTCGTCCCCGAATTCCAGTTGTAGAGAGTAGGAACGTTCCATTGTTCCGGTGTCTCTCCCATCTTTGAAGATGCCTTGCCTCCTCTTACTCTGTATTCACGTTGTCCCCTTGCAGACTCCTCTTACTCTGTCTTCAGGTTGTTCCCTTGCAGACTCCTCTTCCACTGATCTCCTCTGATCCTCCTTGCTCAAATCTCCATTCCCATAACCATCCATCCCGGCTTTAACTATGGGTTATCTAATGTCAAAACCGTACCTTAACCAACACTTCCCTGTTGGTCTTGATCCCGGTCTGACCACGCTAGCGAGGTTCTCCTAACTTTGCTAACCACCTAACCTCTTACTCAAGGATTTTTCGTCCTAGCTTTGTTTCCTTCTTGGAAACAGCATTCACGGAATTTCCTTTTATTAAAACATCGCTTTCCCTTTAAGGGTTCCTACTCGATGTGCTAATACCCAAAACTACTTACGAACCAACTTGGTTCCAAGGATATCCGCTCTAGTTTCATTTCCCCCTGGAAATAGAAACATCGGAATCTCCTTTCACCACATCGTTTCCCAAAACATGGGTTTCCTAAACGATGTCTCTACCAAACTCAACTTAAACCACTAAACAATCCTACTTACTATACCAAGCAAGCAAGAAAATAAACCATTCAAAGATTGAGTTAGAACCCGAAAAATACCTTTTCTCGGCATGTGGTTAGGGTTCCTAAACTCTATCTTACATTCTATGGCTTCCACTCCGTGGTCGCCTCTCTCTCCTTGTGGTTGAGCGGGTGGGTTGACTAGTACTGGGGCAGTTCCTTGGACAGTCTGCTGCGAAATGGCCTTTCTCTCCACAAGTAAGGAAAATGTTCTGCCTTTCATTCATCCTTGATCTAGCTTGCACATTGGGACATGCTCGGCTATGATGTCCCGTCCTTCCACATTTATCGCATGGTAGCGTGACTTGAGACGTTGCTGGGACTCTCATCCTCGCAAGTCTTCTGGGAGGCCTTCCCCTTTGGCGTGACACAGTTTGCTCTTGGCCATTACCCTCTGTTCTGAGGTTCTCCAATTCTGTGGCGATTATCTCGTCCCACCTTCTTGCTAAGTTAAGACCTTCATCATCTTGTAGCCATTCATTCTCTTCGGTACCTTCCTCCGTGGTTTGGTTAAGATCCGGTATTTGATGTTGAGCTCCAATGCCTGCCACCGAGTTCGGTACATCTTGTTCTCCATACATTGTACACCACATTGCATTAGCTTCTCCTTGATCTTGAGGTATGCTTCGTTCTCCACGCTCCATTGATGATGTGTATCCAGCGATCTCGTTGAGTCTCCTTGTCCAGTACGTGGGTGATACGTTCTGGTGTCCAAGATAATCCTCCCATGTTGGTTCCGGCGTATCCGGTTCTTCAGGTTGGTTTGTGAAGACTTCGTTATTGACTTGAGTTGCGATGGCTGGATCATTGCTTTCTACACCCGTGGTAATGAACGGGTATACGTAGTCCGTTGGATTCTCCTCCGTTGGCATGTACGAATATACTCCACCTCCTGGTGCAAATACATGCGGCATTGGTATATGCGGTAGAACACTTGGTGGACTATCTCTATCCCAAGAGTTTGGTGTAGTCTCGCCTGAACTGATCTCTATGATCTGAGTAGATGGCACTACTCTCTCCTCTTCAGGGTAATGTACTGGCCAAGACATGTGTTCGCCATACTCATTCTCCATTGTGCTGGGCTGCCAGTGTCTCTAGGCATAAGATATATGTCCTCGTCCCAATCACTGCTGCTATCATGATCTTAGTGTCTGCTGTTCCAAGTCCGTCACTACGATCCAGTGCTCCGAATTGCTCGACGGTTCTGAGCTCGACGATCCAGACTCAGCTGTCCACACTTGCCCAGTACTAAACCACGACCCCTCATCATCCACAAACCAGTCACTCATGACTTCAAGCTATCACCACAAAGCAAACATTAGGGTTCCTATTCAACACAATCTTTCCCATGGATGATCCACATCCATCTATTCTATGGATGATCAACACCCATAGACACCTCAAACATGGTTTACCACATTGCACAATGATACGATAACCTCTATACTGACCATGCAACAATCAAACAAGAACATGCATGATCAATGCTTAACCACAACCTAATCATTCTACCTATATGTTGCAGACAAACCAGATTACCTAAGGTAGTTTTTGCGACTCCTTTTTGACTCGATAAAACATTTTAAAATCCTTGTTCCCGAGCATGATCATGAACCATGCTCTGATACCACCATTTGTAACACCCCCGAACCGTCCTAGGCACAGACGTTCCGAGAAGCGCCACAAAATGTCGATGTTCGCCGAATAGGCCATCCCAGACTAAGAACAAATCAGAGCCCAGGTCAGCCCGTTCCCACGAACTCGACCCTCTTGACCAAAGCCTAAGGCTTGCCAACCCGTACTTCGGTCAGGAGTTGTGTTAGCCCGGACCAAGCTAATATCATTGGAACATAAGGTCTTTACATAAAACTTTCCTTTATGAAAATATCAGAGTGCTTACAAAATCCGACTTATTTAAAAAAAACATGCGGATCGATCCTTAGTTCCAAAACCAAACAACAAACCATTATTTTACAAAAACATACCACAAAACTATTCTGGCGCCTACTGCCTGCAGCGGTCCGCTCTACTTCACACCTCTACGGTTACCTGAAAAACATTAAACAAAAGGAATGAGTAATCTAATATTACTGAGTGTGTCTAGGACCTCTATACAAGGGGGATTCCCTAATCTCCAAACGCCGCGGGCTTGTAATCCCGCCTCCACCTGCAATGAGGTTAGCACAACACAACATATGCAATCACATGCATTATTGATGTCATAGTCTTAAGACTAACCGTACCCCAATCAAACAAGAACATGTACGATCAACCCAAGACTATAACAACAATCAAACAATCTATATGCAATGCCCATGCAAACCTAGACAAGTATCTAATACTTGTTTTCTATATGCAATAAGGGCCCTAGGTGCATTAGCCACATTCTCTGCCCACGCCTGTGAAGGTTCACGCTCATCCGGAATCACACAGAAACTAGATGAACGCCTTCACCCGGGCACTACAGTCCATCGCGGTACCCGGTTCATCCTTCCATCTATTGGCCTTACTAGCGCACCATGCCAATGTCTGGTTGGATACAATATCGTCATATGGTACCATACTCGGCCAAGGCAGCTGACCAGGTTATCCTCCGAGTCTTCCTCCCTTCATGCACAGCCTCCTCGCTGCCAATCCGGTTGGGCTCTGACGTGCGAGAATGCGCTTGACTACACCTTCCTAGACAACATGTGGTTAGACACGCCACATGTTCTCAGTACTTAGCATATGGGCCTTTACGCACCACTATGCCTCATACCCTCGGTTCTGCGGCAGAGCTTCCCTTGCCTCGGAAGAGTACCCACACGAACCTCGAAAGATCTGGCGGCTCAGCCGTCCGTGATCTTTCCACATCGGAGTCATACTCAACATATGGGCCTTACGCACCACCATGTTAGTATGCACTCGAGGTTTAGCGGCATAGCCATGCTATAACCCCACAACCGATGCATCTATGAGATTTGGCGGCATAGCCATCCACAATCTCACATCACCTAATGTATAGATATGCATCTACACTAACAAGATCTGATGGCATAACCTTCCCCGAAGGTTACCCATCACAATCTTACACAGAAAAGAGATCTGTTGGCATATCCTTCCCCGAAGGTTACCCAACACAACCTCACACACAAAAGAGATCTGGCGGCCTAACCTTCCCCGAAGGTTACCCGACACAACCTCACAACACAAGAGATCTGACGGCATAACTTCTCTCCCTAGAAGATTACCCATCACAACCTCACAACAATGCAAACCTGCATATAAACACACAAGAGATCTGACGGCATAACTTCTCTCCTAGAAGATTATCCCATCACAACCTCACAACACATTATATAAATTTCTGCAGCATAACTCTCCACAATTTTTACTAAACCTTATTGTTTAGAGAGTTATACTACAGAACCAATAACCAATATGAACAGAAAGCATCTCCTATGCTTTGGTGTTCATACAACCTGCATACACACACAAAGATCCAAAATACTAAAACTATAACACCAAGACTCACCACTTTAAGAAGACTTCAAGATCCTCCTAGCTTTCCTTAAGCTTTGATCTTGACCTACTCTAATCTTCCACTAACCTCACTTAATTAAGAAAACTTTCTTAATTACTCTCTAATCACTTTTCAGGTGCTCTCTAGCTTTGGGAATGGAATGGTTTGGACTTGGGGCTGGAGGAGCGTATTTATAGGAGTTCAGGAGGCTGCCTGGCTTCTTGGGACGTCTCCAGTCATGCGCAGACACATGGAGACCTAGGCCTAGCATAGCTTTGCTTGGTGGCAACCTACACTGCCTCAGAACGCGACATCCAGGCGGTCTAGGCTAGGTAGCTTTGATTGGTGGCCTCTAGGGCGTCTCAAGGACATGACACACGTCATTCCTATCCCCTCTCAATGCTCATCCAATGAGCCGACTTCCCCCAAGCATGTGGTGTGATCGTCCGATTGGTTATAACTCATCTTATCCATTAAGATGCTGGGTGCTTCTGTCTGATTGGTCAGCTCTTGATCCAATCCGTTTCTGCATCTCTCCACTTGCTTCTCATCCACTCCTGAAGCTTCTCCTCTCTCTCAGTGGTTGGTGTTGCATCCTGATTCGTCCAAGTCCATTTCGTCTCCATTGAGCACTTCTGTGTCTCCTTTGATTGGTTTGGACAATTCTTGTCTCTCATGAGCAGCTGGGTGTCTCTCCCTGATAGCATTAGGTCTTCTTGGAGCTTATCCACGTCTATCTCCTCCATAGCAGCTGGTGTCGTTGCCCAATTGGTTTAGGCTTGCTTCGTCTTCATTCGGTAGCTGGATGTTGCTACATGATTGGCCCGTCTTAGAAGCTGCTGTGTATCTCCATTTGATTCGTCCATTTCTTTTAGGATAAGATCATCCAATAAGAATGCTTATCCACGGCTCACTCTCTCCTAGCAGGTAGTGTTGACGCACGATTGGTCCAACACAATTTCGTCCCATTCCAATAGCTCAATGTCTCTACTTGATTGGCTGAATGGTTTTGGCTCCATTGTAGTAGCTGATGTCTTCTCCATATGGTTATGATCATCCTTATCTTCTCCAAGTAGCTGGTGTCACCACTTGATTGGCTTAGAACAAGATTGCTCCAAATGTACGTTTCCTCGTCCAGAGGGTTTCGTACGTTTCCCTGTCTGGAGGGTTTCGTCCCCGTCTGCTTGAGAATTAAAATCTCCTATTTTAATCCTTCTCTCATTTCCATGTTTCTGAGCTTCCACATAGTTGCTTGGAAATGTGCAGAATACCTCCATCCCGAACATTTACGCTTCTTGCAGTCGTTGCGGGATAGATCTTGGGCGTTCGTCCCATCTCTCAATCTGCTCGTCCGATTTGCATTCTGCTTCGACCAAACTTCTTAGAATGGTCTCTTATGTCGTCCAAACTCTTCTCTTCTTGATTTGGAGAACTTTGATATTTCGTCGTCCTGTTGACTCTTCCCATGTTCGTACAATGATCGTCCCACCTGGACAATCTTGCTGTATCTTCACTTCTGCTCGATCGTTCTTGATCCTGTCTTGATCCAAGTCTTCGTTGTGATCTCTGGATTAGATCCAACGTCTTTGTCTTCCAATCCCAGAGTGTTGATCTTCCCATCCCGGCCTTTGGGATGTTTTAGGTCTTGATACGGGGTATCACATTCTCCCCCCCTTAATAGAATTCGTCCCCGAATTCCAGTTGTAGAGAGTAGGAACGTTCCATTGTTCCGGTGTCTCTCCCCATCTTTGAAGATGCCTTGCCTCCTCTTACTCTGTATTCACGTTGTCCCCTTGCAGACTCCTCTTACTCTGTCTTCAGGTTGTTCCCTTGCAGACTCCTCTTCTACTGCTCTCCTCTGATCCTCCTTGCTCAAATCTCCATTCCCCTAACCATCCATCCCGGCTTTAACTATGGGTTATCTAATGTCAAAACCGTACCTTAACCAACACTTCCCTGTTGGTCTTGATCCCGGTCTGACCACTCTAGCGAGGTTCTCCTAACTTTGCTAACCACCTAACCTCTTACTCAAGGATTTTCCGTCCTAGCTTTGTTTCCTTATTGGAAACAGCATTCACGGAATTTCCTTCTATTAACACATCGCTTTCCCTTTAAGGGTTCCTACTCGATGTGCTAATACCCAAAACTACTTAACCGAACCAACTTGGTTCCAAGGATATCCGCTCTAGTTTCATTTCCCCTGGAAATAGAAACATCGGAATCTCCTTTCACCACATCGTTTCCCAAAACATGGGTTTCCTAAACGATGTCTCTACCAAACTCAACTTAAACCACTAAACAATCCTACTTACTATACCAAGCAAGCAAGAAAATAAACCATTCAAAGATTGAGTTAGAACCCGAAAAATACCTTTTCTCGGCATGTGGTTAGGGTTCCTAAACTCTATCTTACATTCTATGGCTTCCACTCCGTGGTCGCCTCTCTCTCCTTGTGGTTGAGCGGGTGGGTTGACTAGTACTGGGGCAGTTCCTTGGACAGTCTGCTGCGAAATGGCCTTTCTCTCCACAAGTAAGGAAAATGTTCTGCCTTTCATTCATCCTTGATCTAGCTTGCACATTGGGACATGCTCGGCTATGATGTCCCGTCCTTCCACATTTATCGCATGGTAGCGTGACTTGAGACGTTGCTGGGACTCTCATCCTCGCAAGTCTTCTGGGAGGCCTTCCCCTTTGGCGTGACACAGTTTGCTCTTGGCCATTACCCTCTGTTCTGAGGTTCTCCAATTCTGTGGCGATTATCTCGTCCCACCTTCTTGCTAAGTTAAGACCTTCATCATCTTGTAGCCATTCATTCTCTTCGGTACCTTCCTCCGTGGTTTGGTTAAGATCCGGTATTTGATGTTGAGCTCCAATGCCTGCCACCGAGTTTGGTACATCTTGTTCTCCATACATTGTACACCACATTGCATTAGCTTCTCCTTGATCTTGAGGTATGCTTCGTTCTCCACGCTCCATTGATGATGTGTATCCAGCGATCTCGTTGAGTCTCCTTGTACAGTACGTGGGTGATACGTTCTGGTGTCCAAGATAATCCTCCCATGTTGGTTCCGGCGTATCCGGTTCTTCAGGTTGGTTTGTGAAGACTTCGTTATTGACTTGAGTTGCGATGGCTGGATCATTGCTTTCTACACCCGTGA